TGGAGCCGGTCAACTGCTAGCATAGTATTTTAGAGAATTTAGCCCTAACCATTCCCACACATCGTCTGGAAAAACCAATAACCATAAATGTTAACACGACTCGTCGGCCCACAAAATAGAGAAATTAATGACGCAAAACAAAGACGAGGGCCAGGACATTAGACATATGCCGGTGACAGGTGCTAAGGTGTCTCTCTCTACAAATTATTCTCTCTACAAACTGTGGTCGGCCCTGCCGAGAGAAAATTTGGCAGCAAATTTAATTTGCGGTTTTCTAACCACGCAAAATTAGAACCTACCGGCACCCGTTTCATTTTTCTTGTGAAAATCTCGGTAAATTCCTTTATTAAATCAGGCTTATTTCTACGAACTGCTGTGTGTTTGATTGATTGATAGGCATCGAACCGAACGAATTTAAGGGGACGTCAAGTGAGTGAAAAAATATATCTTTGAGAGTAAGGAGCACCAACAAAAGTCAAACTTCGTCTCATTGCAAACCTTTTAGAGGGGTTTGCCGAGGTAGGCGAATGACTGATTGTCCTCGGCCTTCGTCTATTGGGGAGCAATCCCTCTCTTCCTTTCAAATCTTATTTTATCCATAACTGAGCATCCTGGCGACACGTTTGCCAATGAAAAATCGTTTCTTCTTCGCCCCGCCACCAATTCGTACTATAAAACATGTGCTTAAGTAATAGCATAGGAAGTGAAGGGTTTCCGGGTGAAGGACTGCGTTCCGTGTCGTGTAACAGATTGCCAGATTGCCAATCCACTCTGGAAAACGAGGTTAAGATTAATTTGTTTGCACTTTGATGGGTAATGGTTTATATTAGATGGTTGATGACGAATAGCTTTTCTGATGGCTGGGTACTTGGATAATAAAAAACAACCAGTAGACTATACATATGCAGATGCATTATATCTAAACATTTTTAATGCTGTTAATAGTAATATACCATAGTAGACAAAAAAATTGGTATGATTTTTATGCAATTGTGGTAAAAGTTTCATTTTAAGTAGAACAAAACAACACCCATTGTACTGCGGCTTGATAGTGGAGGTATGTAAGTGTGTTATAAAAGTCTACTATGGTACGATGAGAGATAAAGATTTGCATTACAATTTCACGTAATTTTTTTTACGAAATGATTCTGGTTAACTGGAATGCCAGGTTGCATTGACTTGTTTGCGAAAAGAGTCATAACTTGAACAATTTTCATAATTCCTTTATGAAATTGGTCTCGTTTTATTCAGTATTCATGAGACAGCATTAAGATGTGTAATAAATGACAGAATTGTTTTAAGTTGTACTGAAAAAATGACGTCAAAATCCGACACAAATAAAACGCAAAACTTTCAGTTTCGCGTGGAAACATTTCATCCTTTTTGTTTGAAAAAAATTGAAGATTATTTATTATTAAGCAATTCAAAAACGCCATAAACTAAAATGTTTTAGTTTAATCGTTAAAAATTACGCGTTTCAAATTTGTTTAAAATTTGACGCAAATTTTTAAACACAAAAAAGTCACAAACAAATTATTTTTTATAAATTTATTAGGGGTTTTACAAATACTTCAATTACGTGTTTTTGCAATATACGACCTGATAGACAATTCCTACTATGTCAATTTAAAAGATCAAAATCACTGTTGCACTGGTTATTCACCTATATGTCCTTGCATTTTTATCCTTTTTTTAATACTAAAACCTTTGCAGCGACTCTAAAAGTCTGCACGTAACTCAAGCGCTAACATTGGAGTCGAGCTTACTCAATCGCTAACATAAGCTTACAAATAATATTCGGCCATGGATTTTGCTTCATTGCATGAATTCTAATAATGGGTTTGATACAATAAAAACAATAATGGGGTTTGATACAAAAATTTTCTAAAGGATCGATCAAAAATGTGTATATTATATGTGTATCCAATATACCCATGTATATTTACTTACAATATAAATCACTACTTTAGAGAGTATATAAGCTCCAGTTCTACCAGAGGTCAAATTTCCATAAGTAAATTTTTATTACTCGTAGAGTATAATGGTATATTGTATTCGTGTAAATGTATGTAACATAGAGAAGTAATCATCTCCGACCCCATAAAGTAAATCGATTTATATAGAGATTAAAATAAAGAATATATGTACATATAAGGGATGTCAATATAGCCATGTCCGTATGAACGCGTTGTTTATAAGATACAGGAAGCGTAGGTCAAGTTTGTTTCAAATTTTTGCCACGCCCCTCCCGCCCCAACAAATTGAATATTTGAAAGGTATTTTTTTAAAAACTTTAGACGCCTATCTATTTTATGGTTAACTTATATCTAAAAAACAAAATGCAATTCAACAAAAAGACAGTTTTATATAAATTCCCATGCAAACGAGTTAACATTTTTAACGCGTAAAGATCAGGATGTCATCCTAACATAAAGACCAATAAATTTATTCACAAGCATAAAACTTTTATCATACAAAAATTTAAGGAATATGTTTTACCAGCCCAATAGTTGTCACGGCCTTTTGCCATTTGGGCTAATCAGTCTCCTTTTAATAGCCATCAAATCGAATCTGATCGCTTTCATTGTCTGATTTGCCTAATAAAAACACAAGCCTCAGACGAAAAGCTATGACAAATATTAAACAAAATGCATATTTATGATAACAAACACACTCTCAGACACACTTGTTGACCACACACAGAAACAGGCTGAAACCTCCAGATATGGTTTAGCTGTTGTTGTAGGCACTTCCGCAGTACTCTGGTAAAATGCCAGTAAAAACTTTATACGCACGTAGTCAATTACTCATACCAACTTGTCTGGGAAAATTCATCACCGCTCCGACACTCACTCCGACAGACACCCAACCCATTCATTCCACTTGTCCGTCTGTTCATGTAAGATAGGCAGATATTTCCCATTTTGACAGCTCGGAAATGTGAACAATCTTTGGCAAAAATATTAAACCCGTTAAAGGTGACACGACAGGGTAATTTTATGTTATGTGCAAACCAATATAAAATTTATACCAGAATTGATATATGTATGTAGAATCCATTTATACAGAAACTTGTCTAAATACTATTTCCAAAAGGATTGCCCTGATTTGAACATGATGAAACATGATGAATTAATACAAAAGACATAAATTTGTAAAACTCTAGTATTATAGGTTTTTAAAATTGTCAACATCCAATCTCTAATATAAAGATTTTGGGAAAAATAAGACCGGACGGATGTGGTCGAGTTTCCCAGCTATATGATCAATTAAAAAAAATCACCTCTTGATGCGGTAAAATAATCACGCCCAAAATATCAAAAACCCCTTTTTGTGTTGAAAAAAAGCAATATAGTTATATAAAACTACACATTAAAAACTGTAGATGGACTGCCGACCACGTTGACAAAAATTCTTCCACAGGAAAATGTTTGGGGAAAAATCATATTAGCACAAAAAGATCCTACACAATCGGAGATTTCAACTTTGGATGAGTATTTCAAGGATATGGTAACTGCTAGATGTCATTTTTTAATTTTAGGTGGTACAAATACATTTCAAAAACGATAGGTACTAAAAACAATGATTGTCGCATTGGTGATTGTCATGGGTGATGGAACCTTTGTTTGTTCTGCACTTTGGTTCAGGGGAGCTTAAAATTGAAAATATGCGTGGAGAAAAAATTGGAAATTGTCGGAAAAATGGCCGACTTGGAATAAATTTGTTTTCCATTTCTATAGATATACTAGCCAACCCCGGCAATCGTTGTTTTTCTCCTTTTTGTCTTTTAAAAGGGTCTAGTTGTTTTCTTTTTTCATTTATTTTTGTGAATATATATTGTGTTGGAAAAAATTAAAGATTATACACATGACACATATAGTTTTCCATGGTGTTTCCAAGCATGGTGTTTTAAAATCTAAGCCACATACAGATAATTTTTGGACTTCTGACATATCGTCATGGCATTTCTGACTATAGATCAGTTGTCGGCAGGGCCCTATTCCAGGGGCATATGACACAAATATAAATATACTTTACGTTGCTCTCACAGCCTTTTTACTGTTATTCATTTTGGAGGAGTATAATTAAATTAATTATTAAATACCGCTCTTAACACTTAAGGCGTATGAAAAATAGACGTTGTCCGATTCTCAGCCCTAACGGATATGTACACAAAATTCAAAGAAAATCGGTCGAGCCATTTCGGAGGAGTTGAGTGTCTGATCAAGAATATACATATATACTTTATGGAGTGGAAGATGATTGCTGCTCTATGTTACATACATTCACTCGACTACAAAATACACTTTTACCCTACGAGTCCCGGGTACTTTTTAGGTTATATCGGGTATATCCATGTTTGTGACGAAAAGAAGCCATATAGGTATGTAAAACTACACATTTAAGACTATTATTATTCGGCACGTGAAAGAAAAAATAAGAAAAATAAACACCTAATTAATTCCACTAGCTAAATGGAATATTGCACTGAACCCGCCAGTTTCGTGCAATATACTTTAAAAAAAAAGTTCCTTAAATGGCACTACTCAAATAATACATTTTAGGGACCTTTGGTGATATCACACCGACTTAGTGTTGACTTAGAACAGCTTCAACAACAGCTACGAACAAATGCTCCCGTACTTGTTTCTGCACAATTTTTCTATACCCATCACCATGGTAGAAATGGAGGAAACACTCCTTAGAACAATCCCCATCAACCTGCGTTAAACCTCTTGCCCTCTTGCCCCCAAACCTCACCCTCTACGAATCATCGAAAAAATATGGAGTATCGCTCAAAGTCAAAGGTTATAAGCGAAGATTTTCTTTCTTCATACAATTAATAGAAACTAATTATCCATCTATTAACAAAATAAAAAATACATTGCAAAATACTTGCAATTTATCTGCGATATTTAAAATAACATTTTGAAACTTTAAAAGTTGAAATAATTTGAACGATGAAAGTTTCAACTTGAAACATAACTAAGCATTTCAAATTTACACAACTAATACAGAAAGCAACAAATCTTTATTTCTTGATAGAAAATAAAACTATTAATACATAATCATTAGAATAATATATATGTTTATAAAAATGACTTGGCCCTAGCCATAGTTTTATTATTCTTTTTATTTCGGGCTGTGTGGAGTTGACAAATTTACGGTTTAAAATTATTTTGCTGCCAAACGAAACGTTTAATTTAGCTTAGCACTTAAATGTTAAAAGCGAGGTGTTCGATAACCAGACTTTCTTAATACCTTTCGTATTATATTTCACAAATAAAAAATACTAAAAGAAACATTGCAGACCATTTCAGAAGGCATTTGAAATTTACACTAACTTGACAACTATGTAAAGGTAAAACTAAATAATTATTATTAGTTTGGTGTTAAAGCTCTATGTTCTGCTTTATATTTTTCAAGCTGTTGCTTAATATAAACCTATTTCAAAGCCTTCTCATGAGTCCAAAATATGCAAATCCCACCCACCTATTTGATATATATATTTGATTCACCGGTTTCTGGACATTGTTTTACTTTGGGTCTAACAATCTAACAGCCACATTCTTTAATGCAAAATGTGTGTAAGTTGAAAGATTGGTTGAAGTCTTTAGTATACAATTGGATTCGCATCCCGAGGTTTTCGTGAATACTTAAGACCAAGGTCATCCCCTATTTCGTCGATCACCTCCAGTGCATAATCCAGTTGCTCTTTGGTATGGGCAGCCGAAAGGCAGAAACGAATTCGACCCTCCATTATAGGAGTGGCTGGGAATCCAGCTCCCACCACAGCAATGTGCCGGGTGGTCAAGGTGCGAACCACAGCTCTGGAAATATAACCAATAAAATTAGTAAAATATTGCAAACAAAATAAAGAAAAATTACCCAATTTTCGAAAAGAGGTAGACCAACATTGGAACCACTGGTGAGTCCTCGTGCCCATACGTTATCACTCCTAGCTGTGCTAGACGTCGGCGAAAGTAGCGTGTGTTCCTGGCCAGCTGCATTATCTTCTTTCGACCAGTGTCAGTTCCATCTTCGCCCATAATCGTTTTCATGGAAGTCAAAATCTGCTGAGCAATAGGAGGCGAAATAGAACCGGCATAGCAGTGAGCGTGGCTATTGGTGCGAAGGAAATCAATAAGTTTCTGACAAAAAGAAAAATCAAAATGAATAGGCACATATAAAACGGGAAGAGATAGCTTTTACCTTTGATCCCGCTAAATATCCTCCAGCACTTCCGAAACTCTTAGTAAAAGTTCCCATTAAAATGTCCACCTCCTTGGGGTTCACATTAAAGTAGTCAGTAACTCCTCGACCATGGGAACCCATCGCCCCGACGCTGTGTGCTTCATCCAAATACAAATAGGCTTTGTATTTTTTCTTTAAGGCAATTACTTCGGGCAGCCGGACAATGGATCCCTCCATGCTAAAAATTCCCTCCACAACAATCATTATTTTATTCCACGGCATGCCGCCTCTTTTGGGATTTCCATAGCAAATACCCTCGCGAAGAACTCGCTCTAGGTCCCGCATGTTGTTGTGCTTGAAAACCTTGATTGTAGCACCGGAAAGGCGTAGGCCCAGAATGATTGAGGCATGGTTTTTTTCGTCACTGACCACCATACAATTAGGACCCAGAAGCGAGGGTAGATTAAGAGCATTAGTAGCGAATCCCATGCCAAAGACAATAGCATCTTCCACACCAAAATACCGAGCAGTTAGTCTCTCCAACTCATGAAGCTGTTCATTGTCGCCCAGCTCACAGCGAGAACTGCAGTAAGCCAATCCGTCGCTTTTGGCCCTTTCCTCCGATTCATCTGCGCATCGTCCGGTGGCAGCTGCAAAGCCCAAATAGTTGTAAGAACCTAGATTCAAACACCGTGTCTCTGTTCCGGTGAACTTGAAACTCCAGCCGTAGTCGTCGGTGACACGATCTTTTAGGGTAAGCTCATCACCTGGAACGCTGCATATCGGTCGATTCCAACAATCCTTCACTCGGCGATATACATATCTTGAGTAGAAGCTCTCGAACGCATCATACAATGCCACATAGCCTTCTCTGTTCTTCTCAGTGGCCACTTTGGGTACAAACAACAGTTGGTTAATATAGCCCAGGATCATCAGCAAGTAAAATCCTAAGTATGTAAGGCAGGCCGTGTGCAGAGGGACTTCTTCGAAGGAAGTCTTCTGATAGTGCTCAAGTTCGGGCGATAGTTTTCCCTCGGCCTGATTTGGCTTACTCTCCTCCGAATTCCCAAAGATTGCTCCATTAAATATAGTTTTCTTATCTGGATGATAGTTAGTCGAAGTTGGACTCTGGAAAAGACGAAATAGTTAAAAAAGTCGAAATAAATATTAATGTACGTATGTACGATGTACGTATTTCGATATTTAAATGGTTAAATACCTTTAATCTTAGCTAAGATAGTAATGGCGCCCAAGCTTTTACCCTTGAAGCCCGAAAATTACCCCTTCTCCTAACACCTACTTCGTCTTATACTTCGTATTCTCGTAAAATATCGATCGCTGTCAGTACAATCGCGCAAATTACTTCGTCATTCTTGGCGTTCATTAAACAATTGACGTTAAACTAACCGATCTACATTTGTACATATATGTACCTGCCACCAATATTGCACATACATTGCACAATAAATTGTACATGCTTATATAGACCCCCACTAGAAGCAATAAAAAAATCACTTGGCATCTTTCTTGGCATTCATCAACCAATTGACGTTAAGGGGAGGGTAAGGTATTAAATTTTTTTTTTTTCATTTTTTTTTTATTTTTTAAATTGAATGCATAATATCTGAAGAATATTGTGTCAAAATTTCAAGTCAATTAAAGTAAAATTGACGAAGTTATTAGTTATTGACGAAGTTGCTTGCAAACGTTTTACACTGGATTTTTTTTGTTTAAAACTTTAAAGCGTTATTCCCACAACTCACGTTTTCAAAGTCGGTGCCCCTCATAACTTCAAAACTACTGCACCGATCCTTTTGAAATTTTTAACACTATTTCTGTACATATTTTACGAGGTAACGCTGTCGAGTTTTTTTTTTTATACCCTTGCAGAGGGTATTATAATTTTGGTCAAAAGTGTGCAACGCAGTGAAGGAGACATCTCCGACCCTATAAAGTATATATATTCTTGATCAGGATCACCTCCTGAGTTGATATGAGCATGTCCGTCTGTCCGTCTGTCCGTCTGTCCGTCTGTCTGTCTGTTTCTACGCGAACTAGTCTCTCAGTTTTAAAGCTATCGTCTTGAAACTTTGCACACACCCTTCTTTCCTTTGCACGCAGTATATAAGTCGGAACGGCCCGGATCGGCCGACTATATCCTATAGCTGCCATATAACTGATTGATCGGAAATGGTATAACTTTTGTGTTTTTAGAGTTAGAGAGTTCCAATTTGACATGAGAGCTATTTTTGGCAAAACATTACGTCATGCCAAATTTCATAAGGATCGGCCGACTATATCCTATAGCTGCCATATAACTGAACGATCGGAAATGACCCAACTTTCGTGTTTTTGAAGATAGAAAGCTGGAACTTGGTACAGATTATATTTTTGGTCAGTTAATCCGATCTACGAAATTTCATTGGGATCGGCCGACTATATCCTATAGCTGCCATGTAACTGAACGATCGGAAATGGTATTTGGTAGGAATATCAACTTTCGTATTTTTGAAGATAGAAGCTTGGAACTTTTTTTTAGATTTTTCATTGTAATTAATTGGTTTTATTATGATGTAATCATAAGGATCGGCCAACTATATCCGATGTTTGCGATATATATCCGGTTTTAACTGCAAGGGTATATAAACTTCGGCTCCGCCCGAAGTTAGCTTTCCTTTCTTGTTTGTTCATAATTTTGATTTGGCAATGACAAATTACCCGATTTTTTCCCAAAAAATTGAGTTTTTCACTTCAAAGTCTTCGAAAAAATTAAGAAATTGCAATTTTCAAAAAACCTTTACAGCGTTACCTGGGGCAAACTATTATCTAACGAATGAATTTTCATTTTTTAATTACAAATGATCCAGCACCGAGTTATGAGGGGCACCGCAATTCAACTTTTTTTGGCGACACGTCCGGACAATTGCTACCATTGCCATATTTTTAAATATTTTTTTGTGAAAATTTGATAAAACATTCTTCTAATGTCATACTTTAATATACCGTTGGTTGAATAAATAAATTTTAACTGTGTCGTCAGGAAAAAAATCACAAAAACATGGCTTTTTTCGCATGATTTGACCTTACCCTCCCCTTAAACTAACCGATCTACATTTGTACATATACACAAATGTACATACATACATGCCATCAAGTCGGCCGATCGTTATGAAATTTGGTAGGTCGAATTAACAAAAATATAATCTCTACGAAATTACAACTTTCTGTTTTCAAAAACACGAAAGATGTGTCATTTCCGATTGTTCAGTTATATAGAAGCTATAGGATGCAGTCGGCCGATCCTTATGAAATTTGGCAAGTCTACTATGGGCAAAAAGTCCCGAATTGCGGCATTTTTACATGATGTTGCATGAAACTTCTACATTGGCCAAAAAATTGAAAACAGGTGACACTTCTCCTCTACTGCAAAAAGCATTAAACAGAGAAAATATAGCTGTTATGATGAACTAGTTTAGGCCGAAAGAGATAACACCAATAAGTCCTGAAAATGCTTTAGCCTTTTTAATTGCAAACAATTTAACAAAAAGGCAAAATATTAATATAAAAGCAATGAGTGAGCTCCATGGATGCAATATTTATCTCTCTTATTCGGAAGTTACAAAAATGAAATTAAAATGGAGTAACTAAATAAAATAACTTTGAATCTAAAGTTGAAATATCGCTGCACAATTTATTACATCATTCTGCTGACCACATATTTGAAATGCAGAAAGACGTAATTGCTCATTCGCAAGCAACGGATTGGCTCAACAGGACAAAGTATATAAGCCTGTTGGATTAGACCAGTCACGATCGGTCAGATTTTGCCGACACCTTAAAATGGAATTCCATTAAAATGAAATGGAGGAAAACAATTGAACTTTTAAAAAATGAAAAAACCAACTTGGACGAGCAAATAGAAAACCTTGATGAGCACACCTACACTTGCGGAAACCAAAAAATAATAGTGAAATATAAGGCACATTTGACTTTAATCGATGGCAAAGTTTTAAATGTATTAACTGCTACAAGATTAAATTATAACAAAAGCTACCAAGAGATGTCTTTTGAATCTCCTGATAATGAGCTTCCAACAACAGGGTCATGTCATGTGTAGACAACAATGTTAATGAATTCGAAATACTCGGGCTAGATTTCCTGGAGTTGGGGGAAGAGCTTTGCAAAGAATTAATTATTAACTGGGCATCAAGGTATGGAGTCACAAAACGTATTATTAGGCTGTAAATAATTTTATTTAATTTTTCAGGTATCAAAATAAACTTTATAATGCAAATTTAATTAAGAATATATATACTTTATAGGGTCGGAGATGCGTTGCACACTTTTGGACAAAATTGTAATACCCTCTGCAAGGGTATAAAAAAACGACATTAAAACGCAGAACCTATTTCCTCTATCTATTATCTAACTATTTCTAAACTAACTATTATCCATTTTAGCTATGGACAAACATAATTTGAAAATATATAATTTCCCTGAGTGAACCAACTCATAGATAGAGAGTGAGAGAAGAAAAAAATAGAAATAGGACAAAAAAATAGCGTAAAAATGGTAACCGCTAACTAAATGATGAGTTAGAATGCTATCGTACTCTCTCACTCCCACTCACTCAATTCGTTGTGTCTCTTGCACTCATTCATTCTATTCCATTTGAATGTATTCTACGAAGCCATAAAAGCTATAGAAACCAATTGCCTAACATGACACACTTCAAACCTCGCTAATAACTTGATTAGATATACATATGTATATACAACTACATATACATACATATAAACATACGAGTAAATAAAGTAAAGTACATACATAAATAAAAAAAAAATAAAAACATAAATTTTCTGTGGTGTGACCCAAAGGCGCTATAATTTTCGGAGATATCGAAAATTAACTTTATAATTATAATTTTAAAAATGTTATATTGAATATACATATGTATGTATGTATGTATATACATATATGACAAATATAGAACTTGTATACCCAAAATCATATACATATGCCTGTATGATTGTATACTCATGTGAATAGTCATGTTAAAAATCTCGGGTTTAACTATATATACATATGTATGTAATTATAATAGTGGCGAAAATAGTTTGTGTTTATGATTCGCCATCCGGCTAATTAAAAATAAATATAATTTAAAATAAAACTTAAAAAAAAATGTAAACAATGAAAAATTTGATTGAGTAAAAGGTAGGATAAAAGCATACGTATGCTTATGTAGCATACATCAAATGCTACATCGACCGATGATAGCGCGAGCGCTTGTAATGTAAAAAAGGTAAACATCGAAAACGAAAATCGTAATGTCAGCAGAAGTGCTTTTGGTTAACTATGAGGGCTCTTGGATGATTGCTTGTGAAAAAGAAACTTCAGTAAGTAATTGCTAATAAGGTGGTCACTTGATAGATATTGTTTTCAAAAACTAGACCAAAAAAATTGTAAGGAACCAAACTAAATAAAAATACATCACTTATAGAAATCGGTTGTTTTTTACCAAAGTTATTCCATGTTTACATACCGACATAAAAAATGGAACACCCATAATTATTTTTTTATACGAATTTTGTTCTTTTCAGTGTAGTGAGAAGGGTAGGCATTTGTATGATTCACCGGTGAGTCGCATTCTGTGAGGCTTTACGTAAAAGATTGGGCGAAACAATTTGATAAGACCGGGCCCGGCACGGCACGACAATATTATTACCAGTTCTCTGTTAATCGAATATTGTGGGTATATGTACATACATTGAGAAAGTGGAAGTTATAGTTTCGAGACAGGAGTGTCGTATACAATACCGATACTTAATTTCTGGTTAAAAAATTTTCTATGTGTTACATACATGTACATATATGTACAAAAAAAATATTTTTATGATTATATTCGGATTTAAAAAGACAATGTTAGCTTCAGAACATGCATAGGTTTATCACCTGCCGGCCTAAAAAAAATGCAAAAAAAACAGTGCAGCAGAACAGCTGTAAGATTGACCCAGAAAAGTAAGAAAATAGGCAAAAAACTCGCCGCAAAGCAAAAAAATAACTTCATCTCGCTCATATGCACAAAAACTCGCATAAATCAATGTTTTGGAGGCTGTAAGAGCGAGACAGGGACAAAGCACATTTTTTTGTGTCCAATTATTATTGTTACGGGAGCCTGGTATTTGGAGGTGTGCTCACCTTGGCTTCAGCTGCGGCCTTTACAGTACAACGTCGCGTGCGAATTTCAGTGTAGGCTGGTGCTGAGAATTTCTGTTGATTAAGAAGGATTTCCTTCTTTTCCGGCTCATCCAAGGCTTCTTTTCCTATCGCAGTTCCATTTGGGGGCAGCTTTCTATTCGCTCCAGTTGTGATGTCGCAGCTCTGCTCGAACACCGTTCCCACTCCGTCAAAGTTTCCCATTTTATGATAGTGCCTCCCACCTGTATTCCCAACAAGAGCGACCGTAGTTTTCTGCGATTCGCGATTAGGTTCCTACTCCTACGAAGTTTGTTGTAGTATTTTGCGGTTATCAGTAGGGCTTTTAGTAATATACCAATATATCGATTGTATCTTAGTATAAAATAATTCAAAATACGATATTTTTTGTATGTCAAATTACCGTCGCTTAGTCAGCATCAATGTGGAACAGCGGAACTGCAACACGGAAACTTAATTTTTTATTTTCAATATTAACTATTACTACCAACAAATTAAGATGAATAAAGTTTTGGATTTGTTAAAAATAAAAATACTCACAGTGAAATCTGCACACTTCAAATAGCTGCAAAATGGATTAAAAAATTTCGCCTATACTGATAAGAGATCTTATTCTTCTCCATTTGAAACATTCTTAAGGGCATATTTGGAAAATAATTACGAGCAAGTTCTAAAATAGAGAATAGAAGCAAAATTATACAAATTGCCTACGACTATTGCGAACATTTTATTAACAGTAGGTTATTGATATTTTTTTGATAAGATGGCCAATTCCTGAATCGGAACTAGTCCACAACAATTTCTTCCGAAACTAGTCCACAAGTTCCGATTTACAGAGCATTGCTCTCCACATTTAGCGTATGCACTGCACACAACGGAAAATTAACTGATAATTATTGATAATGAAAAATATTTTCATTTGTGAAAAAGTCTATTTAGACTAAAGTTTATTTTAGGACTTCAAATAGTTGACTTTTTTATATGCAAGTCGACTATATCGCTATATTATATCGGTTACATAGCTATATCGACTCGGCTGTTGATGCTGATTGATAATATAATATTGAGAAATTTTGACACGCTGACTCGCGCTTGACCACCAAACGGCCGATAACTTTCGTAATTTAAGAGATTTCGAGTAAAAAAAAGCCCCCTTAACCCTCTAGATTGAATAAATATATACATTCATGTAAATATATCGAGTAAAGTTGTCAGATTTTCTGTTTGTAGATTTGCAGCACCATCTGTCGGGAAAAAGTATAAATGGTTTTGGATTTGGAGCTGCTAAGCTAGAGTAAAAAAATAATCGTGTGACCATTTTTTGAAGGGATTTTATGTTTTTGTTATTATCATAAGTGTCCCATCTAACTTTAATTTAAAAAAAAAACCTCAATATGATAATTTGTTTAAAAAAAAAGAGCAATCGTATTTTCACAGTAGTAAGCGTTGCATTCCATATTTTTCCTGTTGGATGGGGCTTCTATTAGAAAATAATTAGTCAATTTCCAAATATGTACGACAATAGTGACAATAATACTTCGTTTTTTCATAAACTGAATGACGTATATCAAGAGCGAAAAATATAAAACAAAAAATGAACTCTAACTGGAGGCACAAGAATTATTACTTTTAACACGACAAACAAAACATTTGACTTTTAATACATTTTTACTAGCTGGTTTCGAGGAGTTGGCAACTCCAAATCGAACACACTCACAAACATGAATGGGGGAAAGCAAAAAAAAACAAGCGGCGACTGCCGTTCATGTAAGCGAGGTTCAAAAATAAGCAATGTCTATGAAACTGTTGAGAACGAGACGTTACAGTCGTCTCAGAGGCTATTTAGTAATACGAGAATGTTTGAAATACGGTCATTGGAGCATCTAACTAGTCATTAGATCTGACAATAGCACTGCCTAATCTGCATGGGATCGTTGGGAAAACTCCTAGGCTGATGCATGGCAGCCTTTTCTTAGCTAGGTCTTGAGATGGCCGGGACAGCCGTGGAATAACCAGTTTATTTGTTTTCATCGTTCTTTACTTTTACCGGATCGCTCACGAGCGCTCTTTTGGCCTCTCTTCTGGGACAAGACCAGTTTGCTACAAACCGGGCTCAGTTAGTTTTCGTTCGTTGTCATTGCCAGTTTGCAGTTTGCGGAGATCGCGCGGTCTTGGCCAATAGCTTGGCCAGTTAACCGTTAAGTTGATTGACTACACTTGTGTCTGTGCTGTGCCAGTGTATGTGCAATATAATGCTAAAATGCCCAGCTCTCCAGAAAAAGAGAATTTACTCGTGCTTATGTTTTTGGGGACTTCTTGAAAATCAAGTAAAGGTTTGGCTCATCAGCAAACCGAAGCAGTTTTCAGCAACCATTGAGGAAAAGAAAGAAAAATAAAAATAGTAGTTATTACTGAAAAAAAGAGCTGAGCTTAAAAAGTGTTTATTTGGACTAATACATATAATTCAATTTTTTGATGAACAAAGAAAAAAAAAGTGAAAAAAAAATAATAGTGGTGCAAAAGTTCGAAATATCGTTATTTATTCATCCGTGTATCTTTATGCATTCTTCACCATTATTCTTGGATGCTTATCTTTAACCAAGGAATGGTTTTCCCGAACCAATTACTTCATAGAAATATGTAAGATTTAAATTTCGTCATATTATATCACGTTTGCCATAAAATTAAAATAAAACTGAAGTGAAGAAATTTTGTATTGGTTTGGACGATCTTTTGCGTCACCTGATCCAAGGGCTGAAAAGCAACAACTGCCAAGAATATAAGAATAAGATTTGCGACGAGTCAAATCGCTTAGAAATTCGAAAGTTCATGCAAAAGCGAAAACCGATTAATGCCTTTCTTCTCCCTTATATTTTCTTTGGCCACATTCCAATTGGAAAGTTGATTGAACCGGCTAATGCCGAGCATTGCTTTATACTCTTAATAAGTTGATTAATGTGGTTACGGCAATTGGCTGCGCAGTCTGCCATCCTTTTCCGCGACGCTATATGTAGTCTAGTCCGTCGCTCTTTCCTACTGTAAAAAAGGATTTTTGCAGAGGAAGTAACATCCGGGTCTATAAGGAGGCAGGAGTTTCTCTTATACAATTCGAATTTATTTAGGCAGAATTCTAGTAAGACTGGCTTGTTACCTGGCTACCTGTGAAAACATAAATATACAATACTAGGTTTAGCAATATGGAATAGTTCTTATTATGCAGCCAATTTGAATTGTAGTTAAATTTTGTACAATGTGCTAACAATTTTGATGCAATTCAGGGTGCTTGTGGGACTTGCTTTGTTTTAAGCTCGAATGAAATGCATGTTAGCGAATGCGGTTGCAGGCAAAAAAAAAGAGCTGTCTGCCAACAGTTTCTCAAAGCTCTGAAGCATGAAAAGATGAAAACAGCCGATGAACTCACCCTAGATAGTGCGATTTTATACCCTTGTAGAGGGTAATGTGATTTTTGTTTAAAGTGTGCAGTGATACTTTTAACATATTATTTATCAGGATCATCTCCTAATAAGCATGTCTTCCGGACCGTCTATCCCTCTATGAGAACTAGTCTCTCAGTTAAAATTTTGCAAACATCGATCCTTCTTTGGCCAAATCGAAGGGGCGGGAAATGCATTTCGAATTTTTGTAGGTAAACCTTGATACATTTTATAGTTATACTTTGACTTAAGGTAATACCTATAAGATTATTTGGGAAAAGTGTGTAAGATCTTCGGTTCCAGGAACATAAAATGGAGAGGAGGAATATACCACAAAACGCGTTTATACACATGTGTTTTTACCAGCTAATACCTTGTGGCATCGTCTTGGTTGCCTCATTTACGTGTTAATTCTCAAGGGATGGATTTTTTTTTTTTTTTTTTTTTTTGGGCCCAAAATAGTTTTTTTAGGGAGATTAAAAGTGATTACTATTTTTATTTGGATCATACATATGTACATATTTATTAAATTCATACGTTTATTTGACCTTTAGAGAAATTGAAGGTACATATACAGGGTATGTGCATGTACATACCCTATATACATATGTACATATGTATGTATGCTTAATAAAGAACCAAGTCCTTAATCCCAGAACAAAATGGGAGTCTAAAATGATATAAAAATATGAAGTAAAATAAAAGTATTTAGAAATTAAATAGAATACATGAATAGAGATCTTTTTAAAAAGAAAATCATAAAAAAAGTGTTAATTTGTATGTATATATAATATACTATACAATATATGTACATACATATGTGAAAGTGTTTTCGCATTTGTTTCATTTACATTTTGAAGTTTTTTCTACATAATTCACTAAGCCAAGTAGTGGGCTGCCTTTTAGTGAAACTGTCTAAAATTGTACAACACCGACACGCTCCGCTTTGTTTTCTGCTCCCTTCGAACTTATGGGGGATGCGGGAACAGTAAAGAACAAACCACGTCCGATTGTGTGTTTAAAAACACATCACCTCTTACAGTTGGCAGACACAGTGTAGTCTAGCCATATGATGACTAATAATTCAACCTATTTGCATATTGGACGGCAGCACATTGGCTTGAACAAGCCTTTAAAAATGAATCTGAATTAAACAGGTTTCCATAGCATCTTGTGTTGGAATGCATCTTGCAAAGTATTAACGACTTTACAGAAGATTTTATTAAAATAAAGAATAGTTGATTAAAACCTGAGTTCTAAAAAACTAAAAGAAAATTGTTTCAAATTATTTCAGTTATGTTATGTGCATCAATAGTTGCTTTGCTTAAATAAACGAATAAAATGTTTAATTTTTAGTACTTTTACAATCGTCCGAAAATTTTCCCCCGATTGCTATTGTATAGCCGTTGTCGATTCACACTGTAGCCGTTCTATAGCAGTTCACAGCATCTCCTTTCCACTTTGACACTCCTGAAAAATTTTTAATGAATACAATACGAATACAATGGAAAATTTTCGTAGATTCACTTCAAATCCATTTTGAAAGTGAAAGTCTAAAAAACGGGTGCAAAAAACTAAGTGAACGCGCGACCTTTTGTTTGAAATATTGTGCGTTTCACACACAAATTAAAAAATATTTCATCTATCAGTTGCATTATGTTAAAATAGACAAAAGGAAGAACAAATTTATAATTTTTTAAAACTGCAATTAACTTTGGTCTTTGGACAAAATTTTAAGCTTTTGAATTCAGCTATTTAACACTTACCTACACTTGGCCGTGTTAATGAGTGTCATCAGCGTTATCAGCGATAGCATTATCATTGGGCTACAATACATAAGCACAATTTGCGGCTTTTTTTTTTAAATTGAAATGTCTATGAATTTACCATTTTAGTCCGAGAAATATAAGACGCAAGGGCTCCTGCTTGAGATAAGAGTGTATGCTCTTAAAATATTTAAAATTATCAACTGAGCCGGTTGTGATTTTTCTGTCGTATTTTGTGACGCTGTGTTCAATATTGTGAATAAACACAAAAACAATAAGATAATGATCGTAACGTGCCGTCGCCTCGTCCCCCTGGGCCAATGTCTGGTTTGTTAGTATTGAACCAAACGTAGCGGTTGGCAGTGGACGGTCGGCGCTGACGGAGGGCAGCGCTGGTGCCATATGTATTTCTTGGCCATACGCCTGTTTTTTCCTTGTCCGGTAGTTTCACCTTCGAGTTAGTATCAAAAAATTGGCAAAGGGATCACAAGTAAACGCCCGTTCGATTGGCAAGAAAATGCTGTGTTTTTTATTAAGTTTAATATTTGTGCGAGATACAAAAAAATTCAACGAGCTCTTAGAAGGACCAAAAATATTAATTTTATCTAGTAGTTGTATTAAATAAAGCTTGTTCGCGATTAAATAAAAACGAACAAGAAATGCAGTCTCCAGAATTTGGTGTATCATACAGGTGCGGCCGACAAGGGGCAAGTGCAAAAAATTTTTGTTTTTACCTCAAAGATAAGATTTGAGTCGCAATCCCCTTTTGTACAGACATACGTATGTACTTATAAATATACACTTGAGGTGAAAGACGAAACTTAGAATGGAGCTGTCGATCTGGCTGTTTATACACTATTGACCCAGTTATGTCTTCAATTTGTAACAAAGATGTCCTGTTGTTAAAAAATTATATATAATTATATAAAAATATATTTTTTTCATATTGTATGTCTTTTTAAAATAGCCCAAGGTTTTGTAGGTGTGGAATTACTGATTGATTAATTTAATCTCTTTTTGTTAGCAGTATTCATCCTTACTATGTACATATAAACAAAACAAGAAAGGAAAGCTAACTTCGGGCGGAGCCGAAGTTGATATACCCTTGCAGTTAAAACCGGAATATAGAATAGAATCTGTACCAAGTTCCAGCTTTCTATCTTCAAAAACACGAAAGTTGGGTCATTTCCGATCGTTCAGTTATATGGCAGCTATAGGATATAGTCGGCCGATCCTTATGAAATTTGGTAGGTTGGATCAACTGACCAAAAATAGAATCTGTATTAAATTTCAGCTTTCTATCTTCAAAAACACGAAAGTTGGGTCATTTCCGATCGTTCAGTTATATGGCAGCTATAAGATATAGTCGGCCGATCCTTATGAAATTTGGCATGTCGTAATGCTTTGCCAAAAATAGCTTTCCTATAAAATTTGAACTCTCTTACTCTTAAAATACCAAAGTTATACCATTTCCGATCAATCAGTTATATGGCAGCTATAGGATATAGTCGGCCGATCCGGGCCGTTCCGACTTATATACTGCGTGCAAAGGAAAGAAGGGTGTGTGCAAAGTTTCAAGACGATAGCTTCAAAACTGAGAGACTAGTTCGCGTAGAAACAGACAGACAGACGGACAGACAGACGGACAGACGGACAGACGGACATGCTCATATCAACTCAGGAGGTGATCCTGATCAAGAATATATATACTTTATAGGGTCGGAGATGTCTCCTTCACTGCGTTGCACACTTTTGGACAAAATTATAATACCCTCTGCAAGGGTATAAAAATGAATAAATAATTAAAAACTTTTGCCTAACAAGACTAGGCGGTAGACGGATATGCGTTAGTCGACATGGTATCTAATGCTAGGCGTTTTACATAAATTAGCTAATAAAGTACAGTCCTGATAAACTAAGAAACTATAATAGATAGAGATATAAAATTTTGCGTTAAGGCTCTTACAGTAGAAGCGCATGTTAAGTTTTTTTGAGTTAATAATACATTTTTGCCAAGTCCCTCTTGCCACCACAAATATCATTTTCTTGAGCTCCGAAATACAGTACAGGAAATATATAGTACAGGAAGTATTTTGAAACAATTTAGATGCCTAACTCTTTCGGAAATCAAAATTACGCCAAATCGGCTGATTTTTAGAAGAGTTATAGACATTTCTGACTTTCACGCGTGCATCTCGGAGACTATAAAATGGAGATTTATCCGGTTTGTGTGTTAAGCTTGTGTTACAATTGGTCAACGCCACTACCCGCCTCAAAACTGAAATTTTGACGTAGCGGCATTAATTTTTTTCAAAATTTTGCCACGCCTCTACCGCCATCACAAATCTCGAACTTTTGTAGCGCCGGTAAAAAACTTTTGATGCCAAATTTTTCTATAGTTAATATATATCTTTAAATTACAATCACAGCGGACGATTTTTAGAGGAGATATACCCATATAATATACATTTTCCCATACAAACGGGCTAAAATTTTCAACGCGTTGATCTCAAAGACTATAAGAGATGGAACTATCGGATTTGGAACTTGAACTCGTGTGTTATCCGCGCAGATCAAGTTTGTGTCAAAATTTTGCCACGCCCACTCCCGTTCCCAAAACAGAAATCTTGTTGTAGCCTCGGGAATTTTTTTGAAAAATATTTTGACGCCAAACCAACCAATGGCTAATACAAATCAAAAATCAGCCAAATCGAATCATTTTTAGGGGAGTTATAGACTAATTAGTCTGCTTCCCTAGTGAATCTTTAGAATCTTTAGTGTGGCTGAAGTTGTTGTTTTGCCCAAGCGCAAATAACTTTAACTTAACTTAAAATAACTTTAAAGGTTAGGTAAATTGTGGGTAGAAGAGATAAGTACCGTGTATAATATAGTCGGGAAACTCGACTATAGCCGTCCTTTATACTTCTTTTAGTTTCTGAAATTTTCTTACATCACTAAACAGAGATCAAAAAAGTTAAAGTAAAAGATTTTCAGTGATTTCAGAGATGAATCCAGACAATGAAAAGGCAACATATGTTCGCCCTGAAAAAGCTGACTGAATCCGACTGTTCCATTCTTTTTCCAATTGGAATTAACATTAATATGAATTTGATTTTTAACACAAATACAAATAGTTTTAAATTAAAATTAAATTTTAAATAAATTAAATACATATTCTGTTAAATAAATTAAATATATATTTTAATTCTTAATATTCTGGGCTCCATGTTTTATTCACTTAGCTTTAAATTAACAGGGGCTAGAATGAGAAACGAAAATTCTTCCCGATCGCCCGATTTTAAGAGAAACTAATTTTTAATCTGTTTTTCTATAGACTTGTTTCACTGAAGCTAGAATATCGAATATCTTATAGTCGAGTACCTTGACTGTTACCGTATTTACTAGTTTTAACATATGTTTACCTTTCATACTTTCCATTGATCATTATCGATCATAAGTTGTTTCTTTAAAAATCGTAAAGCAAACAACCACATTAACTTCGTTTGGTTTTCGTCTGCGAACCCATTCGTAACTGGTGGTTAATAAATAAGTTTTCAGAAATAATACATCATCTCTTCCATACTACCATAAAGCTAGGCAATTTTTTTAAACTTGCCGTTATCCAGGTAAATTATGCATGTGTGAAAATGTATGTATGTGTAAATATGACAAGTGGAATAAATGTAAAACAGCTATTTTTCTGCCCTGCAATAGTAATTCGAAAAGTTAAGTTTGTTTTAATATTTGGCACGTACCCAAAAGTGGCATTTATCTTTAACGCCAGTTCAAAACTTTTTTTTTAATCGAAATTCTGTTTATATTCTCAAATTCTTATACGTAAATCGATGTTTGAAGTGGTTCAAATGTTCGTTGTTTGAATTTTTTCTAATGAGTTTTCTATTGAGGCTGTTTGTAGGTTTTGCCCAAAATACTTTTTGACTTTGCCGTTTAAAAAGTATGCCATGCTGGAAATGAACATTGTTGTAACTGCATTATTAATCAAGGCATCTAATGGATAGAAATTTTATAAAATAATCTACATAGATACAATCTTGCCAGGGGTGGCAAGATTTTAGCTTGCCTTTTGCTTGTCTCGCGTTAAATATTAGTTTCTAAAGACTTTATTATTTACTTCGATTAAACATTTTACATTTGGAACATTTGGTTATCGTGACTGTTATTAAATTATCAACCTTCCTTTCCCTTTTTATATTTTTTTCACTCCAAGAATTGTTTTGCGGAACTGTTTCTCAATTACTTAGTATGTATGTACATATGTATGCATGTTCTTGTGCGTTCTTGCAATATATGTATGTATGTTTCAATTTAATTTAAAAATAACTCAAGTTTACATAGCACAAATTGAGAAATAAACAAACACACGCCCAACCGGTCAGATGCCCAAGTGACGTTAGCAAATATATTTTTCCCTATTATTTTTTATTAAATAAGTTTTGGGAACTAATATTAGGATACAATTTTGTTACTAACTTTGAAAAAAAAATTTGTAAGTTAACTTCCTGTTTATTCTTCTGATCTGGAATAGCTTAGCAGAATCAGAGTAAATTTTATTTTTAGTTCAATATGAAAAACTAATTAGCTTTGCAGTACGTGCTTCAAATCCCTTATCCTATATACTGAATATTTGTAAAGGGCTTCTTCTCATTTTGTTTGTGCTAATTTTTTTTCGCGGTCTTTCAGAATTTGGAATTGGCTTCTGCATCAATTAGAGCATTCCTGTAGTCATCATTAAGCTTAGAGTAGAGGTATTTATTACGCTATTTGTAATTTATTAAGCTAAGAAGAGTTAGTAAGGAAATTTAAAATTCTATATTTTAAATTTGAAGGACAGGAAAGAGTTGTTATAGAGTAGAGTCGTGCTGTGCATGTGTCGAACTACAATGGCTAAGGAATAGAGGACTAAAGTTTCTAGTCCTTCTATTGGGAATGTTAGTAATCGTGTTAGTAAATGCTGGCTATCTACATCCCCATTAATTAGGATATGTTGAAAAACTACACCTAGCATTATGCTACGATTGGTAACGCTTGGTAAGTTTATTAGTACATAAGTTTATTGCATCCCAGTTAAGATCTCTAAGTGAAAATGGTAAGAAATTCTTTTTTACGGATTCTACGAAATCCTGATGTACTCTTTTGACCACCTTTTAATGAAACCAATGACATCTTTAGCTTTAGGAATATAAAACACGAAAGAAGAGCCGAAGTCGGGCGAAGTTTATATACCCTTGCAGTTAAAACCGGATTTATGTATATCGCAAACATCGGATATCGTTGACCGATCCTTATAAGAATATAACAATAAAACCAATTTAATTCAATAAAATATGTAAAAAAAAGTCCCAAGCTTCTATCTTAAAAATACCAAAGTTTGTATTTCTACCAAAAACAATTTCCGATCGTTCAGTTATATGGCAGCTATAGGATATAGTCGGCCGATCCTGGTCGTTCCAACTTATACACTGCGTGCAAAGGAAATAAAGGTGTGTGCAACGTTTCAAGTCAATAGTTTTAAAACTGAGAGACTAGTTTGCGTAGAAACAGACAGACAGACATATCAACTCAATAGGTGATAGTGATCAAGAATATATATACTTTATAGGGTCGGAGATGTCTCCTTCACTGCGTTGCACACTTTTGACCAAAATTATAACACACAAAGCATACAAGAATAAGATTTTATACTTGAAACCCAGTTTTAAGCTAGCTTGTAACATAAATGTATAATTAATGCAAATTTAACGAAAATACTATCTTTCTTTGTTACATTAGTGCATCTAAAAAGTATTGAACTGGATAGCAGAAAAAAAAACCGAAAACACATAATGAGATAAATACATACGGCGACTATGGATTTGATGAACATTGACCAGCAGAACATCAGGAAAAAATTATGAAAAACAGTTGTGTTATTAATTATATTTCCAACAACTGCTTATTTTGTGATGAGAAGAATAGTCGTACGAAGTGGTTTTTAAAAAATTACTAAAAGAATTTTAAAGAACCGTCGTGAAATGGAGCATCTAGATTTGGCAGGATATCTCTCCAATGCATCGAAAACATGGAACTGCCTTGGATCCTTCGAACAACAAGGTGAGATAAAAAACATCTTATTCATAAATACCAAACCGAAACAAATAAATGAATAATGTATGCAAACATGGAAATGATTCCGTCTCGCCACTTTCAAATTTTTTTTTATTCATTAATAAGTTGTTTAGTGAGACTTTATAAGAATGTTTTCCATAAAAATAATCTTTCTTATCTTATAGATGATGCTTGCTTATCCAATTCGCGCCAAATATTAGAGCCTATTATGGAGGAGACAAGCGAGGACGAAGAAAATGCCCAGGGCAGCTGGAACGGAAACCAGGAGCAACGCAACAGCTTTTGGAGTTCTACGGAGTCCGACACAGGCTCCGTCATACGCGTCGAAATAACAAAAGGTAGGATTAATATTTCTCCAATAACGTATTTTTATTATTATTTGTTTACAAATATTGCAGATATTGACGCCATATCTGAGAGAGACTTCGCCTGCCCTCCAAAGCGAGCCAGAAGGTGCCAAGAACTTGATCAAGTAGACGGCTTGGATGATAGCGTACAACTTCGTCGTTCTTTACACTTTGATCCTGAGCCCCCAACCAGCCAGGACCGCTTTTTGTCAGTGGAGCCTTATACGCGTGACAGTTATGGGAGTCAGGGGCAAAGAAGCAGTACCGGCAGCCGTCGTGGTGGAGTTTTTGATGAGTACTTCTCAGACAATGACTCCTACCACTCGCTGTCCCGCAGTTCTTCTTTAGTGCAATTCGAGTCCTTGGAACGGCAGCTCACACTACAAGAGCAGCACCAAAGTATGAGCAGTCTGGGAAACAGCTCACCATCGCTCATAAGCTGTGAACAAGGTGCTGGTGTAGTCACGTCCGACGCGAATCCGGAAAGCAGAAGGGCGTCAGCCTCGTCTCTGACTCTGATGAAGCGGTACGAGTCAAGCGACGGACGCCTGCACCAAACCTATTATGAGCTTAACAAGCTTAGCTTCGAGGACCAGCAAGAGCGGAAACTTTTTTCGAAGAACCTTCATCAAGCAGAGCTAAAGTCGGATTCGGAGTCTAGTTCTAGCTCCAGCGATGCCAGCGGACGCAGTCTTCTTATCTCGGTCTCTGGAAATGGAAATATGGGAGATGGGGGGAAAACGGATGGAGTCACTATTCGCCGATTGCCACTTACCTCGGCAGAAAACCTTTCGGAGGACTCCGGCTATTGTGAACCAAGTACATTGCAGCGTGATACGTCTAAATCGATACCCCAGAATTTCGATAAGCTGTCCGAAGAGGAAGAGATACAGCTTCTAGAGGACAGCTCACCCAATCCGCAAAACTCCACCGACGAGGATGATTTGTGTCAGCTGAAAATAGAGCAGCCGTCGGGCACAAGCACAATGCCCTGCTCTCAGACGTTGGCTATTAATAGTTCCCCGGAGAGTCCCACCTCTTCGGCATCGTCTGAATCGGAATCGATGAGTCCATCGGCCTCAGACTCAGCATCACCTTCACAACTTCCATCGCCGAGCGGATCAGAGGCATCGTCGGCCGCCTCGTTTACATGGCTGCACAACAGTTTGCCCGATATACGCGAGCCGCGAGGTTCGTCGTCGCCTAAAACAGTAGTCATCGATCCAGCGCTCCCTACTTACGTCACCGGCTACGGGCTGGCCACTAACAGCAAAAGAACGACGAACAGCAGTCGGAGCAGCAGCAGCTCCTCTGCTGCAGATTTTTCCCCGCCCCTAGGCACCACACATTCGCTTCCCAACGAGCTGCAGCAACTCGGACGTCGGCGTAGATCGCGCAACAGCCGGTCCCACCAACGAAATTGTCGCAGTAACAGCAACAGCAGCGGCGCAAGTTCCGGCGACGAGTGGGAGGCGGAGGAGAGGCGCGACTACTTCTTCGACTGTCACAGCCTGTCGAAGATCCGCCGTAGCTGTAGCTGGAACGACCGAGCTGTTGGGATTAGTCGACGTGTGGATCGCTCCCGAACTTCAGTAGGCGTGGCCAGTGCGGGGTATCTTAACGCTAGTTACCAAAACCTCACTCTGCTGGATTATACCGATCAGAAACCTACAGCCGAACAGCTTCAGAGAAACCACAAGAGGACCAAATGTGCCAAGATGTCGGACCGCAGCAGCGTTTCTGGTGGGGACTATGAGCAGGTGATCTGCAAAGGAAATTTTTTGCTTGATGAAATCAGCAAAATCTACGACAAAAATGTATCCATCCTTAACGATATGCCCATTGCGGATCAAGACAAAACCCTATCATCAGCTGACAAGGTAGGTCTAAGTTTTTAAGTTTCTGATCTGAGGACATATAGAAATCTGATAACTGCAATTGAGTTAAATATGCATATACATATTTATGTATATCTATCAATATGTAAATATATATGGTCATATATACATACGTGGTTGCAGAGTACATACATGAATCGGATTTCCAATGTACCTTATTATGTTAAGCTCCAACTATTTTGCCGTTTTTACGTAACATAAATATATCACGTAACCACGTTTAATATATAGTTTTATATACGTATAGTTAGTTTAATACATAATTTTCCACTGAAGTTTCGTTTACAAAATACAATTTTCTTTCTCATTTACATTTATTTCATACAGAAATTATGTATGGGCGTGTATTGTCTTTGTTTTTAAAGACAAAAGAGAATTCAAGCTATTTCTCTTTCTATATATATCTAGATTTTCCTACAATAATTCTCTTAGGTGACTAAGGGAGGCACTGCAGAAATGTGAAGTTGTGTCAGTTTCTTTTAAATGAAACGGGTACTGTTTTAAGCAGGGACCGTAATTGTTATAATTTTTAAAATAAAAATTATAAAATAAAAATTATTTGTTGATTTTTATGACAAAAATTGAAATATAACTCTTATTTTCAATTTTTATAATAATAATTAAGACTAAGAATTATTTTTCAATTTTAATAAATAAAATAAAAATAAAAATTATGATTCAATTTTTATTAAAAAAATTGAAAATAAGTGTTACGATTCAATTTTTATTATAAAAATTGAAAATAAAAATTGAATGCGAATAACTTCTAAACCGAGTGGACTTACAAAAAACCGCTTACATTTTTATGATCTGTGGCGCAGTACCTTTCAAATGATGTATCGAATGTCCTTAAAGGACATAATAAAGGAGTTATATTTCAATTTTAGCAATAGAAATTGAAATAAAAGTTTATTGTGTTTCTGGATTCACCGTTAAAAAATGGTATAAGTGTCCTTTTCCCACTCCCCACAAAGGCTTTTTTGTCGTTCAATTTTTTTGAACTCATAAGTCTTATTTGCTGTCCCTGGTTTTAAGTATGAGTTCGAAAAAAAATAAATAAAAATGTAAAATATCTTCCAATTTTTTGAAAACAAAAATCAAAGAAAATTGTTTACTATAAAAAATTAGTTTGGTTCATTAAACTTAAAAACGCTTTAAATCAGTGGTGCCCAAACAAATACATTCCCATGTTGGACATTCCTTTGTATTTGAATATTTGGAATTTTACTAAAATTTACAGTCGTTCTACAGTGCCGGTGTGCAGGCAGAGGCCGGACTTAGGGATATTTCCAAACCCATGGGATAGGGTTTTGGGCACCACTGGTTTAAATCGAAATTCAAGTACCCAAACTTAAAGTACAGTTAGCGCATTAAGCTTTATTTTTTTAGACGCCCAACCTACCAGGATAAACAGAAAGAAAGTTCAAATGTATGCGCCAAAAATATATATTCATGGGGAAAACATTTTCTAGGGTTATACATAAGATACTACGCTTTTTATGTATAATAAATCTAAGGATGATCAATTTCCTCCCTCTTGTTCAATAAAATCTTCCCATTCCAGAGCTCTACATTTAAGAACACTTTTGGTGTGGTGATCAAACCACAGTTCCTTAAATCGCTTGTGGGGAGACAAAAAAATATATTTAAACTAAACAAGAAGGGAAAACTTACTTCGGGCTGAGCCGAAGTAAATATGTACATATACCCTTTCAGTAAAGTTTGAAAATATATCCCAAATTTCATACATACTACATACATAGTTGGCTGATTCTTATGAAAATTTCATCAAAAAACCAATTTTTTATAAAAAAAAATAAAAAAAAACAAGAAAGGAAAGCTAACTTCGGGCGGAGCCGAAGTTTATATACCCTTGCAGTTAAAACCGGATATATATCGCAAACATCGGATATAGTTGGCCGATCCTTATGGAAATAGGAAAATATAATCCAATTTATTACAATACAAAATCTAAAAAGAGTCCCAAACTTCTATCTTCAAAAATACGAAAGTTGATATTTCTACCAAATACCATTTCCGATCGTTCAGTTATATGGCAGCTATGGGATATAGTCGGCCGATCCTAATGAAATTTGGTAGGTTGGGTCAACTGACCAAAAATAGAATCTGTATTAAATTCCAGCTTTCTATCTTCAAAAACACGAAAGTTGGGTCATTTCCGATCGTTCAGTTATATGGCAGCTATAGGATATAGTCGTCCGATCCTTATGAAATTTGGCATGTCGTAATATTTTGCCAAAAATAGCTCTTATGTCAAATTTGAACTCTCTAACTCTTAAAACACCAAAGTTATACCATTTCCGATCAATCAGTTATATGGCAGCCAGGGCCGTAGCTAGCATGGGGCAGGTGGGGCGGTGCCCCAGGGCCCCCGAAGCGAAAGGGCCCCGCCGGGGCAAAAGACTTCCGTATAGGGGGCCCCAAATTTACTTGTTGCCCCAGGGCCCCCGAGGCTCTAGCTACGGCCCTGATGGCAGCTATAGGATATAGTCGGCCGATCCCGGCCGTTCCGACTTATATACTGCGTGCAAAGGAAAGAAGGGTGTGTGCAAAGTTTCAAGTCGATAGCTTTAAAACTGAGAGACTAGTTTGCGTAGAAACAGACAGACGGACAGACGGACATGCTCATATCAACTCAGGAGGTGATCCTGATCAAGAATATATATACTTTATAGGGTCGGAGATGTCTCCTTCACTGCGTTGCACACTTTTGGACAAAATTATAATACCCTCTGCAAGGGTATAACAAGAAAGGAATTCTAACTTCTTCGATATCACAAACATCGGATATAGTTGGACGATTCTTACAATAAACAAGAAAGGAAAGCTAACTTCGGGCGGAGCCGAAGTTTATATACCCTTGCAGCTAAAACCGGATATATATCGCAAACATCGGATATAGTTGGCCGATCCTTATGAAATTTGGTAGGATGGATCAAAATATAATCTGTACCAAGTTCCAGCTTTCTATCTTCAAAAACACAAAAGTTGGGTCATTTCCGATCGTTAAGTTATATGGCAGCTATAGGATATAGTCGGCCGATCCTTACGAAATTTGGCATGTCGTATTATTTTGCCAAAAATAGCTCTCATGTCAAATTTGAACTCTCTAACTCTAAAAACACCAAAGTTATACCATTTCCGATCAATCAGTTATATGGCAGCTATAGGATATAGTCGGCCGATCCCGGCCGTTCCGACTTATATACTGCGTGCAAAGGAAAGAAGGGTGTGTGCAAAGTTTCAAGACGATAGCTTTAAAACTGAGAGACTAGTTTGCGTAGAAACAGACAGACGGACAGACGGACAGACGGACAGACGGACATGCTCATATCAACTCAGGAGGTGATCCTGATCAAGAATATATATACTTTATAGGGTCGGAGATGTCTCTTTCACTGCGTTGCACACTTTTGGACAAAATTATAATACCCTCTGCAAGGGTATAAAAACAATTACAATTCAAAAAAAAAAAATTTTTCAAGCTTCTATCTTCAAAAATTACAAAGTTGTTAATTTTACCAAATACCATATCCGATCGTCTATGTATAAGTCGTCTTATGAAATTTGGTAGATGTGATCAACTGACCAAAAAAAGTTCCAACTTTCTGTCTTCAAAAACACAAGATGCTTCATTTCCGATGGTTCATTTACATGGCAGCTATAGAATATAGTAGGATATAGTCGGCCGATCCCGGCCGTTCCGACTTATACATATACTGCGTGCAAAATAAAGAAGGGTTAATGCAAAGTTTCAAGACAACAGCTTCAAAACTGAGAAACTAGTTTGCGTAGAAACAGACAGACGGACATGCTTATATCAACTCAGGAGGTGATCCTGAACAAGAATATACATATATACTTTATAGGCTCGGAGATGTCTCCTTCACCGCGTTGCACACTTTTGGACAAAATTATGATACCCTCGGCAGGGGTATAAATTTATAGTTTTATGATTAATCGTTTTGAAAATAATTCACTTCAAATGGGAATACTAAGGGGGCGCTAATCTAATGACGCGCAGTGTACATACAGACATATGTACATAGTTCACATTTTTTATAGTTGTCTGTTTTCAATTTATTCTTACGAAAATGATTTTTTTTCTCAAATTTTTATTCCGATTTAAGGATCGTTTCTACAAACGTCGACAAACAATATTTTTGAATATATTAAAAGATACATACATATGTATGCTTTAAAAAAATATTCCAGTTAAAAAAATATTTATATAAAAGAATAAGTATGGTTAAAAATATAAAACAATAACAAATATTAGCCGTTGACACAAGACTTCTGACAAGATCATGGAAATATATTTTCTTGAAACAACTTAAATTAAATTTAATTTTTAAAGATTTTCTGTAATAGAATCCCTTATTTACATTGATATTGTATTTACTTAATTTCAGACCACTACGGAAGTACTTCAGGCTACTGAAGTTTCTGATTCCAGCATGACGATCGAGGTAACAGGAAATAAGGACTCGCAAGATTCGATCGAGGCGCCACAAGTGCAGCACGTTCAATTGACAATCAGAAAGCCACCGCCACGAACCAAGCGAATAGCTGTAAATCCTCAAACTCATTCAACCAGTCAAGCTGGATTCCAACCAGCTACAATGAACTTTAGCAGCTTCGGTAAAACATTTGACCAGGACCCAACCAATTTGCGCACCTCTTATGCCCAAAGCCTGGAGCAGTGTAACTTCAATATCCAGGAAGTCACAGCCCCCAAACCACAAGTGCTTCCGACACAGCCATCTTTGCCGAAGCGACGATTTCAATCACATGCAGCGGGCGCAAAGACACGTAGCCTTGTCAGCAGTACTCCCGACCTTTCTGCCTATGTGGACCGGCAACAAGACCAAGAGGACGACATTTACGTTAGCAGCGCCCACACATCGATGCACCAGCTGCCGCAAACACCCACCCTACCCAAGCCTTTGGGCATCCTACTGCCCGCTGGTTCCAGAAACTCATTCAGCAAGGAAGTAAGTTTCTGTCCAGTGGTGAGCAAATACTGTTGGCAGGAGCAGTCCTCCGAAGAGCCCCAGGAGGAGCATGCAAATTCCAGCGAGGGAGTCTCGAGCGATGATGAACTTCTGGACAATGCTGACGCCACGGTGTTGCACAACACAAAAGAGAACGAGAATATCGCGGCCCGTTATAACGAAGAGCAGACAGAGAGATATCGCAGCGAAAGAGCAGAGCCAGCAAGAGAACCGCCGATCGTCGCAGAAGAGAGCGATGAGAACAACGAAAACATCGTGCCGATCGGGAGAGACCCGAAATGCGAAACTAAAACAAACCATGAGCTCGCTTCAGACAACGCAGTTACAGTTAATCTTGATTCTCTGCTCTGCCCGCCCGGTTTACACTTGCCAGCCCGGTTCGCGCAGCCATCGCTACCGACACCGCCCACGTACACACCCACGCCCGAACCCTCCCATCGTCCGGTAATACGTCCATTGAGTCTGCACCTACCCATTCTCAGCGAGCCACCCACCAATCGCGCCCACCACATCTTGTACGCCTCTCAGCAACTTTTACAGCGTTTCGACACAGAGGATCCAGAAATCGGCAGCAGCGTTGGCGATATGCCACCTGCCAGTGATCCTAAGCAACATGCGGTCGCAGCGGGGTCGGCAGGAGAAAAGCAACCTAGTTCCAAAAGCTTCCTTTCTAGGTTCGCTCATGGACTGCGATTGTCATTGCGACGCAAAAAGAAGCCACAGCTGGATCGGACGGATCAAAAGCAGGCACCGGTGGCGGTCAAAGCAGGTACTGTGAATCGAAGCCAAAGCAACGAAAATGGTCGCGTGTGCAGAAGCTCGGACAGCTTTATTCATATACCACTGAAGCCCCCAAGGAATGTTCAATCCTGCCAGCTCGACGACAGTGTCGTCTCCGAGGCTAGTACAGTGAGTGTACACAGCGTTCGAAAGCCAGAACAGCTGGCCAAAACCTCCACATTGCAAAAGGTGACTGGTAAACCGCCGTTGCCCAAGCAGCCTCCCCGAAGTGGCAGCCTAACGCATGCGCCTCAAGGAACGCCTCAAAGTGCCGTTGCCGGGCCCAGTGCTGCCAGTGAAAGCGAAGCAATGCTCGAAGCCGAGCGGGAGCAGTACCAAAAGTTCGCCAAACAGTTGTCGGCTGGCGTTCCAGCCAAAATGCGGGACACCGAGTCGCCTTCGCGGGCTACAGTGGCTGAAAAGACCCAAATGTTCAACCAATTGGGTGGAAACGGAAGTGGGTTAAGACCCACTGTGGTCACCGCCGTACCCGTTGCCGTTTCACCCGAGTATTGTGCCGGGAAAATGGGGTTGATTGAAACCAATCTGGACACCCACGAGACTATTATTTCAGGAAAAACTCGCTCCCTCATGGACATAACCAGCAACCCGCTCAGTCTTCCACACAAGCGATACATTGTAAAACGCTTAAACGTGACTAGCGCGGCCTACGAAGTGGATGATCTAAACGGAGATGCCGTCAAAAATTCAATAGGTGGAGGAGTCGTCCAAATCGCGTCAGTTCGGAGACCGCACAAGAGCATGGAATTCCTGCTCGACAAGGAAAATCAGAAAAATGCTTTGGTGAGTTTCTATAAATATGTAAGCTCATACATACATTTTACGAACACATTCAGCCTTTACGGACATCGATTTTAGCTGCATTTTGGCATTGTTTCGTGGACAACTTGTTCTAGTTTTAGGCTTAGTTTAACCCTCCCAAGGGCTATTGATGTCGCTCATTTGTTGAGAGTAGCATTTATAATGTCTATAGACAGAATCTTCTGTATAGATATGTATAAGCAATTTTTAATATATTTAGATATTAATATATGTAGATGTCTTAGGTTAGGAAACCAGGTTATATACTTATTAAAATGTGTATATACTATACATGTATAAATAAATATTTATACATAAATTCATCAATATTTATACATAAGTTCATCAATATTTGATGATCAAACCAACCTTTTTGAATTTCCAGTATTCTCATGATGCATTATATTATTTAAATTTTAGTTTTTACATACAATACAAAGTACAACGCAATCATACAATAAAATTTTTATGTATCGTGTTTCGTCGCGCTTAACTTTCTATATTCGAGTATGGATTATGTGCAAAATATAGTACATATTTCAAACAAAAAATTTTCTTGGGTCTAAAAATAACATATCAAAAGATAGAGTCCGGCAAAAGTATCTATTTGTCGAAATTTTCCATTCTGCGGCGAAGCCTCACATTTATGTATATCCCACAGTACAGTAAAACTTTAAACGCGTTTTTCTCGAAACCACTTTTTTTGAGACTGAATGAAACATAACTCGAACAAATCTTAACCGATCGATCTGAAATTTTGAAGGTATATTTAAAATACCTTTATCAATCGACAAACGTAGAATTTCTGTGAGGTTTTTTTCGTAAAAATTTTAACTTTTTTTCAATCACTCACCATTTTGCAAAAAATCAATATATTGCCCAAATCCTAATATTATAAAACATAATTTACAAATTTTCGATTGGCTTTTTCATTTGGCAATACGAAATTCCAGAAAATCCGCTTTTTTCCCAGTTACTCAGATGTCCCCCTTAATATTATCATATGCTTATTACCACCCAAGTCCCAAAAATGAAGGGAAAAATGTGAACCTTTTAAGTCGCCTAGGTAGTTGTCTGACCTAAATCCTAGTCCGACGGGGTTTCGTAGTCTATACCAACTACCATCAGGTACCATTTCATAAAACATTTCTAGGACTAAATTTTCTGTGTTCCATGAAGCTACGCCATTTATATTTCCAAAAGCGGTTTCCTACTAAATATTTGAAGTAAATGGACTTACATATGTATGTACTTTTTGAGCTTGGTTATTGTTAAATGATTTTTGTTTTTAGTGGTAATGACGCTTTTAGTGAAGAATGGCGCTTACGTTATTTTCGCAAATAGGGCTCGATATTGTGCTATTTTAAAATTTTATTTTTAAATTTAAAAAACCGTTTAAACTATTACTTTGAAGTTCTGAGTATAAAATATTCAACATTTTGTTTTGTTCAGAGCAAATTTTTTTGAGTTATATTATTATTATAGGCGTTTTTTACCCTTGCCTCCGCCAGATGGTCTTATTTACATATGTATGTATGTACATACATACATATGTTAATGCATACTTTAATTTCTATGCCCCTGTCAGTAAATGGTAGGGTAATTTAAATGCGATTTTTTTAAACCAGCGTGTACTTGTAGTTAACATGTACATATGTACATACTTACAAATTTATATATGTATGTACTACAATCATAAAAATATATTTTTCAATCAAACGTGCCAAGCAAAAAAGGCAACCCTTACACAACCTAACTTCTCCTCATTTTGCAGGCAACAAAGAAGGTTAGCAACGGTTAAAGATATTTTAATAATCGTTTTTGTATTTGGTTATCTTAAAGTGCAAAAATACAACTCCTTGCTACTCCAAATAGTTTTTTAATGTGCCGTCTCACAAAAGAGACCTTTTATTTACAACTCAAATATGTTTGCTATTGTGTCTAATTTTCATTCGCTTTTCGACAAAGTCTGAGTTAAGAGCAAAGCCAAACACACAGAACTTGAAGCAAGTTCTCTTTCAAAATAGTACTTGATCAATGCGTGCTCTTAAACTCTCTTAAAACTCATTTTAACGTGTGATATGTATGTTCATACATATGTCAATATATGGATAGTCTTGCTCTCCATCCGGAAAAATTCTGTTCCATATTTGTTTTACTTTTTCTGTTAGTACGTGGAGAAAAGCGGCTTCTTAAGAGCAAAACTGCGAACGCTGCTTTCTAATTGTTAAGAGCTATTGTGCTGGGGCAAGGCTGATGCCATACATACAAAGTAGTACCACTAACCATACAGCATATAGACAACCCATTTCATACAACGAAAATGGACGCGAAAATTTCTTGCGACAGGCCCCAGCAGGCCCCAGAGCGGATTTCTTACGCTCTCTTACGCTCATCGTTCGTTCATCTTACGCTCATTCTCGCAATAAATGTTTTCTGTTTCTCAGTCTCTAAACGGAGCGCGATGAAGAAGGTTGGCCTGCGCTTCGGTTGATCTTTGTATGTATGCGTGTCACACATTCACATACATGGGTGTATGTGTGCGTGCGATTTCGTTTCGAAGCCAGCGCACAAAATTTTGATTTTTCTTACTTTTAAGGCTTGCTACCCTAACAAAATTCGGGTATTCGTTATTTGATGAAATGACGAAAGAAATTATATTATTTTGTATATTATATTTTTTTATTATTTCAGCATACATTTTTAATTTATTTAGGAATAAGATTAAGTGTTAGTAGTAAAATGTTTTCTGTATATATATTTTTACGAATCATTAAAAATCAATATACTGAGAAAGTGTCAGAGTATATTTCGGTCGGAGTCACTTAAAGCGCCGTTTGCTTTTAAGTTTTTGTTGTTCTGCAAGAGGCTTGTGCATGCCTACTCTAACGATGGAATGATTTTTAGGGGAGGGTGAAGACGGGTGAAGAATTAAATTACTTTTTAAAGTTATTATATATAAGGAAATATATATAAGGAAATTATTAAATTAACGACAATAATTTAATTAAATCTCACAATAACCCAAAATATAATAACAAGTGCCTGAAAAATTGTAAACAAAAAAGGTAAACAAGTCCATCAGCTGTTTTCGTGTCTTCACCCTCCCCTAAAAATCATTCCATCGTTAGAGTAGGCATGCACAAGCCTCTTGCAGAACAACAAAAACTTAAAAGCAATCGGCGCTTTAAGTGACTCCGACCGAAATATACTCTGACACTTTCTCAGTATATTGATTTTTAATGATTCGTAAAAATATATATACAGAAAACATTTTACTACTAACACTTAATCTTATTCCTAAATAAATTAAAAATGTATGCTGAAATAATAAAAAAAAATAAAATAAAAAATAATATAATTTCTTTCGTCATTTCATCAAATAACGAATACCCGAATTTTGTTAGGGTAGCAAGCCTTAAAAGTAAGAAAAATCAAAATTTTGTGCGCTGGCTTCGAAACGAAATCGCACGCACACATACACCCATGTATGTGAATGTGTGACACGCATACATACAAAGATCAACCGAAGCGCAGGCCAACCTTCTTCATCGCGCTCCGTTTAGAGACTGAGAAACAGAAAACATTTAATGCGAGAATGAGCGTAAGATGAACGAACGATGAGCGTAAGAGAGCGTAAGAAATCCGCTCTGGGGCCTGCTGGGGCCTGTAGCAAGAAATTTTCGCGTCCATTTTCGTTGTATGAAATGGGTTGTCTATATGCTGTATGGTTAGTGGTAGTACTCAATTGAAATGCTTAAATGCTGAGATCACCAGATCACCCTACAGGTCAGCAATCATTTGCACTCTCATCACGGCATTTGTATGTACATATATGTATATATAAACACGGTTGGTATGTAGTAACCGAAGGGGTGGGCAGGAGGTACAGGAAATTAAATTAATTAAAGTCTTTTTGTGGTACTGCTTATTTACATTTTTACTTTCGTCGCTTGACACAATTTTTCACACTTTTAATTTGTTTCTCATTTTTAGAGGAGTACTTTTTATTTTCTCTTGCGTTGAGTTAACAAATCAGCATCGTCAAATGCGTTTCTCTCCCAGCAAAATTGTTTGAAAATTAGCGGTCTAGTCATTCATACATACATATGTACACATGTTTGTGGGTATATTTATGATTATTCATAAGTATGTACATATGTATGTTTTGCCTGTTTATATTTTCATACATACAAGTTTATATGATATTGAAAATGTATGTACATATGTAGATATCTTTTAAGTATTGTGTCTACATACATATGTACATATATGAATTCTTCAAATGGCCAGCGCCCCAAACCCCTATTTCGCAGATTTGTGATTTTTTTTTTGCTTGGCGTATTAATAAAATCAACAATATTAAATATTAAATGTAACATGAGTCACAAATGACTATTTTAAAGTAATTTATGCATTAAAGGCTAAGAACCTGATATGTGTTTACTTATGTACATAAATATGCACATATGGTATGTATGTATGTATGTATGTATGTACATATATCTGAATATAATTAGACGGTATTTTTATACATTGCACTGTGGTCCCAGTGCGGCATAAAATCAAAAAAATTATGAAACTATTTTTTGAGTATGAACAACGTTTTGATGAATAGATATCCCAAATAAATATGTTTTGTATGTGTTTATTTAGCAGAAATGTGTAACAAAAGTAGTTGTGCTTTGTGGAGTGTTACTTTTTCAGCGCATATCGGCGCAAGAAGTTACTTATAAATATATAGGAATTCAAATTTAATTGATCTTCTTCGCCCGTTTTTGCCCCTTTTCGAAAAAACAATACATGTTGCATGAGTTCTCTCATGCAGCGCTCCTCGAAGCTTGGGGTGGAGAGCCACCGGAAAGTCGCCGCTGTTAGAGGTTTAAATTAAATTAAATAGAACCATATTTAGTAAAAGTTTTAGTTCTTGTTAAGAAAAACTTATGTCTTCATAAACTTATTCATAAACATGAAAAGTTTATGTCAAAATTAAGTAAAAATGCCAGTATGGCCAATTCTTGATATAGGCGTGATCAAATTTCCAAAACAATAAATTTCGAAATTCGACAAAAATAGTTCAAGCATATATGTATGTACATATATGGAAATACTGAGCCCAGTATATCTAAAATTGGAGTTCATGCCAAAAAAACGACGTTTCCGCCCAAAGTGGGCGTGGTCAAATTTAAAAAACAAAAAAAATTCGAAATTCGACAAAAATAGTTTAAGCGTATGTGCAAAATTTGAGGCCAGTATCTCTAAAACTGGGCGTTTCGGCCCATAGTGCCTTATAGCTATGTACATATGTATGTATGTATGTTGTACATATTCTATTACCGCAAAGATGAACGGCTTCCGCCATAAAAGTTTACCTTTAAAGTACATAAATACAAATGTATGTATATTTATGTAAGTACTTTTGGTACTTTATGTAGGTATTAATTTCTATATCCTTAAAAATATGTAAAAAAAAAAAAACAAAATCTACATATATTCGTCTGTTCTGTGCAAAATCCCTTTGTTTAAATGCTATCGAGTTGATACTTCAACAGGGCTTTAAAATATTTGAAACAAGAAAGGAAAGCTAGCTTCGGACGGAGCCGAAGGTAATGTGCCCTTGCAGTTAAGACCTGTACATACATCCCTAATAACTGATATAGTTGGCCGATCCCTATTAGAATGTTACCAAAAAACAAATTTCTTAGGCCAGTTGAAACAGTTATTTATACATAATTTGACTAACCTAGGTTTAAATAAAAAAAATAATCAAAAATAATTAATTACCACTTTATACTCATGTAAAGACAATAAAATCGTTTTCCTTCTGGGCTGAATTGGCTAAAAAAAAATTGTAAATAGCAAAATGTGAAAGTGCTACGCACTCCCAATGACCGAATGTCCTCAAGATATATGTATACCTTTTGTATTTATACTTTTTTTGATACTTCTTATTTTTGTATATTTTATCTATTTATCTGAACTTTTTGCATGCAATTTTTTTAAGGCTTAAATGCCAATTGGTCGCTTGGATTATTTAAAACGATGCCAACTAGTAAGATTACTAAACATTCAAATAGTTGAATAAACAAATAATTTTTAATCTAAAGAAATAACCTTATAATAGGAACTACAATTAGAAATGTTTTATAAAAAAAAAGATTGTAAGAAACTGGTTGCAGTTTTTTGCATTTTTTTTTTTACCTGGTTGGACAAGTTCCGAAAACAAACAAAAAAGTTAGTTTCCGATTTTTCTAATAGTAGGGGAGCTTATGATGGTAAATTCTGAAGTGATTCAAGTTCCAAAGAGAATAATTGATTGCTAGGGTAAGATGATAAAAAAAGAAGAAAAGACACCTAACTTTGGGCGGATATACATTTACCAAAAATAACGCATACAGTTGGCCGCGACTTAAGGGGCCCCTCCCCCCCATTTTCAATTTCAAATTTTGACGATTTTTTGTGTTATTTATTTGCAGACATAAAAAGGAAAAAAAAAATGTTACATTACTTTTTTTTTTTTTTTTTTTTTGTGTTGTTCAAACAAATTTCTGCTCACTGGAACATCAGAAACCAAAAATTCCAACGGGATTAGAAAGAGTACATGTTTGGATCTGGTATGAACTAGGATTATTAATTTCGCATAAAAATTAACAAAATAGCGGGCCTTTGAAATTTTTTTCAGCCACAAATCAAGTTGAAAAGTAAAGAAGATCTTTACCGAATTGATCTATCCTAGTTCATACGAGAGTTTTATATGTATAGAATAACGTATTAAAATTTGGATTTACCGATTGGATTAATAGGTTTTGAGTAACCTCATGCGCCAGTCGTAAAAACACTGTTTCGAGAAAAAAAGCGTTTTAAGGTTTGGAAGTTCCACCATAAATCGGCTATATCTTCAAGAGTTTTTTAAATTTTTACTTGAAATTTTAAAGGAACATTCTTGAATAGTTATAAGTTCGAATTAAATTTAAAAAAATTGATTTTTTGAAACCGAGAATGGGGGGGTCTCCTTAAACGACTATCATAATACCATAAAATCAATTTTTTACAATACGACATTTTAAAACATGAAAGGAAAGCTAACTTCGGGAGGAGCCGAAGTTCATATACCCTTTTAGTAATGATTGGTTATATCTATGAGAATTTTGTTATAAAAACAAATTATTAGATTACATAATTTAAAAAAAGTCACAAGCTTCTATCTGAAAAAATACCGATCGTTCAGTTATATGGATAGAACTAACAGCTATAGGATATAGAAATGCCGACAAAATCTTTTTTTTTACTCCCCGCTCCACGAACCAAAGTCCAGAACAAACATTGCTCCCATTGCTTACAGTTCCCGCGGTTCACCCAAAAGAATATCAAGTTTTACCCTATATTGAATAATGTAGGTTTTGTAGTTGCGTTTACCGCCATTATCAATTTTAAAATGTAAAGGACTATGTATGTAAAACGATGTATGTAGAACGATCGTTCAGTTATATGGCAGCTATAGGATATAGTCGGCCGATCCGTATGAAAATTTGGCATGTCACCAAAAATATTTTAACAAAAAGCACTCACTGTTTGCGCCCCACTGTAAATTTATTAAGTAAAACGAAAGTAAACGAAGTTTCTTTAGGCAATTTTAGACAATACCAAGTGGCTTTGAAATTGGTTGTACATACCTAAAGGTACCATCATAAATTCTTCAGCAGGTGTAAGTTAAAAGCTGTTTCATTTATTCAGTGGACATATGGTTAAAATAGGGTAAATCCAATCTTACCTAAATTTTTTGAGTTCGGGATTAATTTGAGGAAATTCCGAAGCCCTTTAAGCACTTTAAGTAGCCCGTAGGATTTTTGCGAGGTCTACTGATTATACTACCAGGTATGGGGAAGGTTAAGTACAACGCACAGGTAGCAGTGCACCATAACAGGATAATTAAAAGGGTCATATGCACCACGCGTACCTGTTGCATATATAAACGACCGCGTGTGGTCAACAATTATCAGTTGCCTGTCAACCACTGAAACGCCTATATCGCTCTCGTTATGGCATCGTACACTTGCACCCAGCTCTTGAACCTCAACGATAGTTGCAAAATGTCCACGTCTACAACTTTTACTCTAGACGCAGTCCATTTTGCACAAAGAGACCTATTTCTCTTTATAGAGAGCTTGGAGACTATATCCCGCCTTCAGAAAGAGCGTCACGAGCGCCGTCAACGCCACCGGGAACAAAAGCTGCAACAGGCCCGCATCGCTGTACTGGAGGATGAACGGTGTAGAAGCCCGACACCAAGTGTTGAGGAGGCCGTCGACGAACCGATAATGTACCTTGAAGCCAAGTGCATTCCCTATGCAATATCCGATAACCTGCAAAACCAAAAACAGACGGTCGCGGAATCACCGGAGTACTACACTTGCAATGATGAAGCATACGGAAGCGCAACGCAGTCGCCACGCAGTAGCATTACCTATTGCAGCTGTAGTGGCGAAGAGTTGCTTAGCATAGGTTACGATTCCACCGAATCTGGAGTGTACGGGTCCACCTCTCCCCCACCAGTCCGACCACGCTCCCAGGTAATTACGCAGCCCAAACGTCGTTCCACGCGGTCACGCATTATCAACATGGTACTGAAGCGGGATTGCTCTAAGACTTCTATGTTTCCTTGCCATAGCCATGACCATAAAGACAAAGATGTGTTCACCAATGTCGCAGTTCAAGAGCATTATGAACACTTAAAAAGCAGATCCCGGCGGGGTATAGCCTTTCAAATTGATTCGCCGGAGGAGAGTTTCCTTAACAAGGCCCTCCGATATTTAACGTTGTAATTTTGCGTAAAAAAAGATTAAATTAGTTAGTTCATAGAATAAACTCGTTTGTAAAACACTTATATGTATATTAAATAAAAAGTACTTTTATTTTAAATAATTCAATAATTTTATATAATATCCGCAGATAAAATGTATGGGAAAAAAATAACAACTTCTAATACCAGTTTGGTAGAATAATTTTTGTAGCCTAAAGATCATAGTCTTCGAGAATAGCTCGTTCATACGAACAGACGTTCGAACGGACAGAAGGAAGAATTAACTCGGCTCTTGATGCAGATCAAAAATATACATATATACTTTATGGGGTGGGTTTCTTCTCTATGTTATACTTTATGAGTACCGGCTATAAAAACACTCGTCTCTTATGTATAGAAAAGCCGCAACTGGCTAACCAAAAACGTGCAATCGTCTCAAGGCTATAGGAATAACCATACAAAAAAAATAAAATATAGAATGCTCCACGGATGTTAAAAATGAATATTTAAATTTTCTTAAATTTTTTCAAAAGACAAGTTAAAGAAGCTTATGAAAACTTTTAATAAGTATTTAAAATTTACAAAATAAAAATAATGGAAATTTGGTATTTGGCCAAATATAATAGTTTCACTCTTCTAGCTAAATCAGTTGATTAAAAGGCTTATCAACTGCATGCAAAGGAAAGAAGGAAATTTAACTAGCTTGAAAAATGGGAGACAAGTTCGTATACGAAGAAGAAAGGAAAGCAAACTTCGGGCGGAGCTGAAGTTGATATAACCTTGCAGTTAAAACCGGATACATATCTCAAATTTTGGATTTAGATCCTTATCAGAGTATCATAATATGTCGAATTTATTAAAATAAAAACTTTAAAAAAGTCCCAAGCTTTTATTTTCAAAAATACCAAAGTTGGTATTTTTACCAAATACCATTTCCGATCGTTCAGTTATATGGCAGCTATAAGATATAGCCGGCAGATAGTTATTTGGTAATAAAATTTGATAGGTCGGATCATCTGACTAAATATAGAATCTTTAGGAAGTCCCAACTATCTTCAAAAACACGAAAATTGGGTCATTTCCGATCGTTCAGTTATATGACAGCTTTAGGATATAGTCGGCCGATCCTTATCCTGCTGTAAACTTAATGATCTATTTTGGCGAAATAGGCCTGTTGTGGGCTTTGTGTTGTTTACATCGACGTCGCAGGATGTTCCCGAGAAAAACAGGGCGCTGCATTCCTGTTTTATAGGGGAAAGCTTAAGCTGTGTAAGATTTCGCATGCGCGAAAGCTGCTCTCAACAGCTTTCAAAGAGAGACACTCACAATGGGTGAAGCATATGGGAACCGGTAATGCATGAACGAACCGGGAAAATGGATAACGGATAATGGGTGTGCGCAAGGATAAATAAATTGAAACCGAGACCAGAGCTCGAACACAACAAGTTGACGAGTAGTCGAATTTCGATTTTTCACTGTTTAAATTTGCTACTTGCGCTAAAGGATACGGATGAGTGCTAAACCGTATCACCTTCTCTGTCGCTAGAAATTGCAAAAGGCGGCGTAGAAGTTTCTCCGTCGTGCGTGTACCTGTATTGGATTCGCGTTTCGCGCACAATGCTATCCCAAGTAAAAGCAATATTTCGTTAATTCATTACAACTAGAATGTCACAAAACATATATTGATTCCCCTTAAAGGATCAAAACCAAAATATAAAAAAATACGCGCGATAAGTGTTTGGTTACTAAAGTAACTCAATTTATATGCCGTCAAAGTGCCAAAGTCTTTGGGGGTGATTATTTGATAAAAAAAAAACACCCATAGAAAAATAAAAAAGGCACAATCTATTTTTATGAAGTTATGTATACTTCCGAGATATACGCGTAGGAACGTTTTGGGTGTGACTTGCTTTAGTTGCAGTTCTCCCAATTGGGAATAAGGTCATTATGTCTCTCCAACTCTTTCCCTCTCTCTTTCTGGTCTTTGCGTGTTTATTGACTGTATTTCTGCTCTGCCAGTGATTTCCAAATGCAATTTTTTAGGAAGTTCCCATCAAATATGCAGATTTAACTAGTTTTCGATAACTTACAAGTTTTTCAAAAATTGTTAAAATATTTCTTCGAGTTTCAGTTGCATATATTTATCTATAATGTTAAGCTTAGGACTTCTAAATTTAAAGTCCTGTTGTAAAATCTTAGAACTATTTAAAAAATTTCGTTAAAGTTATTATTTTATTCCATTCAAGTTCTTACATTAAAACTTAAATTTAAAAGTCTTAAATTTAACATTTGAATTATCCACATTCTGAACAACTGCAGTGAGACTCAATAAATATACAAAACCCACATAAAAAACTCTCACAAAAATTATTTATGAAAAAACATGAAAGAAACTGTATAGTCGAGTCCGGTACTCAATTCTTTTACCATTTTCCACCAAACTTAAACTTACCTTACAGTATAGATTTTCAAAAAATAATTTTTTGTTGCATACCCAAAGCTATGAAACTAACAACTAAACCGAATAAAATGCCTAAGTCTAGAAGTCCTAAAGGGTTTCCGATTTGGATAAATTTTGTTTTTTTGAATAAAATTATACAATTTTTCTGGAAAAGATGATAAAATATATTTATGTTTTATGGGGTCGAAGGTGATTCCTACTCCGTGTTACCACTAACCATACAGCATATAGACAACCCATTTCATACAACGAAAATGGACGCGAAAATTTCTTGCTACAGGCCCCAGCAGGCCCCAGAGCGGATTTCTTACGCTCTCTTACGCTCATCGTTCGTTCATCTTACGCTCATTCTCGCAATAAATGTTTTCTGTTTCTCAGTCTCTAAACGGAGCGCGATGAAGAAGGTTGGCCTGCGCTTCGGTTGATCTTTGTATGTATGCGTGTCACACATTCACATACATGGGTGTATGTGTGCGTGCGATTTCGTTTCGAAGCCAGCGCACAAAATTTTGATTTTTCTTACTTTTAAGGCTTGCTACCCTAACAAAATTCGGGTATTCGTTATTTGATGAAATGACGAAAGAAATTATATTATTTTTTATATTATATTTTTTATTATTTCAGCATACATTTTTAATTTATTTAGGAATAAGATTAAGTGTTAGTAGTAAAATGTTTTCTGTATATATATTTTTACGAATCATTAAAAATCAATATACTGAGAAAGTGTCAGAGTATATTTCGGTCGGAGTCACTTAAAGCGCCGTTTGCTTTTAAGTTTTTGTTGTTCTGCAAGAGGCTTGTGCATGCCTACTCTAACGATGGAATGATTTTTAGGGGAGGGTGAAGACACGAAAACAGCTGATGGACTTGTTTACCTTTTTTGTTTACAATTTTTCAGGCACTTGTTATTATTTTGGGTTATTGTGAGATTTAATTAAATTATTGTCGTTAATTTAATAATTTCCTTATATATATTTCCTTATATATAATAACTTTAAAAAGTAATTTAATTCTTCACCCGTCTTCACCCTCCCCTAAAAATCATTCCATCGTTAGAGTAGGCATGCACAAGCCTCTTGCAGAACAACAAAAACTTAAAAGCAAACGGCGCTTTAAGTGACTCCGACCGAAATATACTCTGACACTTTCTCAGTATATTGATTTTTAATGATTCGTAAAAATATATATACAGAAAACATTTTACTACTAACACTTAATCTTATTCCTAAATAAATTAAAAATGTATGCTGAAATAATAAAAAATATAATATACAAAATAATATAATTTCTTTCGTCATTTCATCAAATAACGAATACCCGAATTTTGTTAGGGTAGCAAGCCTTAAAAGTAAGAAAAATCAAAATTTTGTGCGCTGGCTTCGAAACGAAATCGCACGCACACATACACCCATGTATGTGAATGTGTGACACGCATACATACAAAGATCAACCGAAGCGCAGGCCAACCTTCTTCATCGCGCTCCGTTTAGAGACTGAGAAACAGAAAACATTTATTGCGAGAATGAGCGTAAGATGAACGAACGATGAGCGTAAGAGAGCGTAAGAAATCCGCTCTGGGGCCTGCTGGGGCCTGTCGCAAGAAATTTTCGCGTCCATTTTCGTTGTATGAAATGGGTTGTCTATATGCTGTATGGTTAGTGGTGTTACATATGTATGTACATTCACAAGAAAACAATATATCCTTGTACTCCATAAGTTCCGGGTGGCTATTAAAAGCAAATATATATTATAAAACTATTTATTAAAAGTATCTTGTAATCATAAAGCATGTACTTAACATATTAGAATTACTTATTTTGGTAAATTTGGTTAACTTTACTGCCATTTGCAAAAAAACCTGACGTGATTTCTTGTGTATAAAGCGACGATAAGAAGCATAAGATAAGAAGACCAGAATAACTATACATAACAATATTGACTTGTCTGAATAATAAAAAAAAAGTGTTAAGTTATTACAAATTTGATAACTTTGGAGTTGAAAGATAAAAGGTTCAGAGTTTCTAAAGATTATACTTTTGCTCAAAGAATGTTTTCTAAAAAACCATATCCGATCCGATGTAGATCCCTATCGGACTAAAACTATAATAAAAACCAAGTTGAATTATGCATTTATTTTTCTAATACGTTTCAGCCTCCTGAGAATGAACTTCGAAAATCTCATGATCAAAACCCGGCCGCCTTGAGCGAACATCAGCTACGTGTACAGGCCTCTCTGCAGCGGCTTAACATTCCCGACTGGTTCCGACACTACAATCAGGGAGATGAAAGCACTTCATGTGGAACATCTGTCGCCGGACGAACAACTGGGGGCTACCGTCCAGGAAACTTTACCCGCAAACGCACGCAGGAAACAGGTCGTTGGCAGGGACTTAACTCAAAGACGACATCACTCAGCTCATTGGGTTCGCAACGTTCCGACAGAAGCCCTTTGCTACTTAGCCCCTCAGCGCACAGTCACCATGGTGGCCAGAGCTCCTCTACTGGGGGATCGTCCACTGACCATGGGGCGGGGCATGTTCAGACGTGCTTAGGAGCAACCCGTTGGTCCACGTCCCACCTTAACTCTACTCAAACTTCGCCGATTATCTCGCAGCGCGGCAGTTTCACGCGGGGAGCGCCTATTACAAGCAGCTTTATATCAGTGGCCAGTAGCAGCGGTGTTCTACGGAACTCCTACCGTCAGCCGTACCTTGGATGGCGCAGCACAGAAAAGTTATCCCAACGGACGCCACATGAACGGTGTGTTTAAATCTCGCTAAGCTTTTCTATGTACATAATTGAAATCGTTATATCGACTATTACTAACATTAATGGCCAATCTAGGGAATTCACGTCTAAAAAATACTAAAAAATCACGTCTCATAATAAATAATTAGGAGGAGAATCACATTCAACCGCTTTTTCGTTATAAAAACAATATAATCATTTTGTGGTTTCAGTTTGGCGAACTCACTTCTGGCGCAGCGTGCAACCCCGTCGTCGAATTCGGTGACCAATGGAGTCTCTAATCAGCAGCCTGTGACAGCAGAGATCCAAAGTTCCATTAAGGAGGTAACGTCGGCCATCGTTCATTATGTGAATGACCAGCAGCAACAGCAAATGGCGGAGCGCAGCCGCTCATCCAGTCCGAATTCAAGGTAAATGGCAGTCATATCAAAGCAATTTAATACTCTTTTCTGTTGAAATAACTTCTTTATGCTTTATCCCTTTTTCCGTTTCCCCATAAACTATATTAATTATATTTTTCAAAACTTAAAAACACTTAGCTATTTGTAAGTGTATCCGCCTTAGAAAGTGTCAAAGTCAGAAGTATCGCCAAAAAGTTAAAACAATATCCAACAAGAATCTCTCAAAGAGGTAAGCCCCCTATGTTGGGTTATCCGTCGTCGTCTTCATGTGGCTAACAACTGTGATTAACCAGGAAGGTGGATGCTTAATTCTTAAACTAATAATACTAAAAGTCATGACTTCCGAACTATCGATACTTAGTCTTTTTGTCGTTTAGTGTTTAATGAAAAAAAAAAAACATAAATTTAAAAATTGAAGAAAAGTTGGTTCAATATGAAAACTGGGCAATCGAAAGGAGTTTTTATAAGATAATTTTTTTTTAATGGATTAAGGAGGAAAATGCGTTGACCTTAATATAATATCGATTTACTTTCAAAATTAGGCCGGCAATCGGGCATCAGTCCAGCAACCCTTACGGCTGGCTGGTTTTAGTCTCTTTGCCTCTCGTTGGGCTCAGGACTACAGATTTGGCTCATATCCTTTTTTTATTCAAGTCCCATGCGCGCTTCCAGTAGCTTTGAAATATCGGACTGAGTTAAACTGAAAAAATGTGTGTGTTTTTATTTTGAGTCAGTTATACTAAAATGTTGCTTTTTAACAAGACCGTAATATACATAAGTATCATGTGACAGTAGAAGGCAGCAAAAAGTAACAAAAGCTTAGAAAACTTATTGTTAAGTTTGTGCTATATATTTATGTTCTGCAGTTGGGCATTACGTCATATATTGATTTTTACCATTCAAATCGACTAAAGCTGCTTTATTATTTCGTCCCATCTATAGAAAATGCTGGCTGGAGAGTAGCTTTGTTGGCATAAGGCCTTTGCATTCGCCACTGACACCTGTGATTGACAGCAGCCCGCCCACATCAACACATGGAAACCATCAGCTACACAGCTTTTCGTACCACCTGCATCTGGAAGACGGTCTAAGGCCAGTGGACACTGCTGAGCAACCATCGCTTCGCATGAACGGTCTTAGTCGTGTCGGCGGCGGTGGCGGTGAGTCCACCATTTATATATGACACGGCGTCGAAACATAACATGCGATGCTGACTTGAGCCACAAAACCTTGTTCTGCCTGTAATAAAAGAACAGTTGCACAAAACTCATTTTAGGTTTACATACTTACGTTGTAGTAGTCTCATCGATAAGCCCGTAGATAAAGCTACACATATAGATGCAAGTGTTACCTACATACATTTGCGTCTGTTTGCTTGCTGTATTTGTCTTTGTTTATTCCGTTATCCAGGGTAAAAAGTGCAATGCATTTTATTTCATTTACAAATAACATGCTCAAAAATTCAGCATTTTTATGTTTCTTCTATTTGGTTATCTTTAATTCGGGCGTTTTTGTATCAACTGCCTTTGCATAATGTTCATAGCGTACTTATCAAGGTATAAGCATGCTATTGCGCCATTTCTTTTACTCGTACCATCAAAATTGTATTAAATGTAGTATGTTTAATAAAGGCATTTCGGAATTTTCTATTTTAGGCAGTGACATTAAAACTAGACAAATTCAAATTTGAAAATGCAATCTGACAACGTAGGAGTGCTAAAAATATATATTTATTTTTCTTATCAGTATGCAACGAACGACTTGTAGATGTTTTTATTTTCATATTTATATTTTAAATATTATTTTTGTACCCAATTATATATACATACATGACAACAACTGTTGTGGTGGCTATAATAAATACAATTTGTACCATTAAAACATGTTTTTATTTTGATCCATTTTAGTTTCCTGTTTTATAAATGAATTCTAATTTCCGTAATTTCCTCGTAAAACTCTTAAAAATTAACTTATTCAGCATTTAGCAAAGCATATAGTAAATAATGCTTGTTACAATTTTTATATTATGAAATGAACACTTTATTGCAAAATTTCACTCGAGGACCTCATTTAAAAAACCCTATGTAATCTCAGCCCCCGAACGCTCTTTGAGCAGCGCCTCGCTAGAAGATGTCCTAGCTTCGCTTTTAGGACTGCCAACTACTTTCTCCTCCAACCAGAACAGCAATAACAACAGTAACAGCAGCAGAAACCAAGGTGCAACGTCGAAGACGACAGGTATGAACCTGTAAGTTTTTCCTCAATATAGTCCACAAACCCATACATAAACGAAAAATATCAGATATATGTACAAATATATATCAAAAAGTCTCTAAACAGAATCTTTAACATTAATGCACTCGCAACTAAATCTACATACTTTTAAAGTAAGTGATATTTTATATCCTCCGTATGGGATTCTAGAAACAATCAAGACCTAAGAATACTCAAGATGGCGAGTATTCGCATGATTCCTATTTTTTTTGTTTAACAATCAACAAAAAATTTACAAAAAAAAAAACATATTAATATTGCGGCTCTTTCTCGTTTATGATTTTTTTTTTAAATAAAAATAACTAGATAAAGTTATTAATTTTTACTATACTTAAGTAAAGATGCTTCGGAAAGTACTAAGGTTTACGCTGAAAGGGATTTTTTTTCGAGAAAAGATATAGTTTTCACTTGATCTCTTATTTACTTTTGTTAGAAATATTTCAGCAATGTGTGCTAGGAGAAATGAGCTTATGCCAAGTTCAGCACTCGAATAAAAGATCGGGTTTAGTAAAATAAAATAAAGTTTTGACTATCGTCACAGTTGGTTTGATTTTTATATTGAAACTATTAGTAAAAAGTCGTTCTCATAGAAACTATCGTAAACATAATTGCTTGCGGTTTTAGTTATGTACTACTCATTTGTTTCTACACCCAGCATGAGCACAGCTCCCGGTCCTTGAAATGCACTTTCCTATTTATACATTTATCAAGATTTTTTGGAACTTACACATTATTAACTTTGTGATGTTCATTTTATATTTCACAGCAACTGACCCAGTTTATCGGCAGCAGCTTCAAGCGCTAACGCCTGCCGATCCACAGAAGATTCGTAGAAGAAGTGAAGGTGATGCGGCACACTCTAAAAAAGAGCCATTTCAGGGCCAGCCAAATACCAACTTCCACTCACACTTATATCAAGGTGAAACTAATAGTCAACAAAATGCCAGCTCCAGAAATCGACGGGTATCATTGGAAAATTCTTCGCCTGCAGAGCCGCATGAGAAAAGCAGTGATAAACCAAACGGAGAGCACCAACCGGGATTGGAACTTCAGGTGCGTTGCCGAAACACTAAGTGTCAGCAAAGTGCCTCTCCGGCACATGCCAAGAAAGTGTACAAGTCGTGCCATAACTGCTCCTATTTATACTGTACGCGGGAGTGTAGGCGAGCGCACTGGGAGAAACACCGAAAGGCTTGCTTGCACTCGCGTGCATCAAATCTCTGCCGGCAGGTGCTAGCCACATGCAAGGACGACCCCGACTCGCAACGTCAGCTCAGCCTTTTGGCTCGAAAAGGCAGCTTGTCGCAGGGACGGGGTGTTGTACGGGTCTTGTTCCGCAGTGCTGACGCGGCGGAGTGCTTTATTAAAAACGGGTTTCAGTGCATGGGCGAGGCCTCTTACGTGCGCTGGCCTGATCTTATGCCCGCCGAAATGGGCTTGGAGCTGTATTCAGAACTCCTGAAACTTAGCACAGAGTACAAGCCAGAGTCCAAGATGCTGATCTACGTGGCTATATGCGTGGTATCCGAAGCGCCTGGAATGGGGCAGGCGCCTGTGCGATGGGAGCGCCAACTTGTGTCCCGGTGCGCAAAGCTAAAACTTTGCAAGTCAGCGCTAGCAGAGATGGAACTACAGCAGCAAGCACTACAACAGTCGCTATCAGTGGTGGCAGTGCCGGAACGCACCGAGATCCTCATCCTCACCTTTAATCCTGGACAGCGATCTTTACTTAGTAACCGCGAACTTATTCTATCCAACATACTGGATATATTATCTCGCCGTGGAGTTATACTCCACAAACACTACCCGGAGGTCTTTCAGCGGCTTCAAACATTTACAGATGGACAAAGTGATAAATTTAATCCAGTGACTTTGCACCCTCGCGATTCTCAAACGGGACAGAGTTTTGTCTGTATAATTATGCCCGTACAAACTGACGGCGAGCTTATTAAGCTGCCCTCTGCAGCCGACGGTTGCAACCGGGTCACAACAATAGATGTGGGCTCTCCAGCCGCGCTCGCTCAATTAGATGACGATGAGCTACTTAAGCGCAGTTCTCCACCAAGTTGATTAGTGGCCGGCTACAAATCCCCCAAAAACGCCAAAACCCAAATTGGGAAAAGGGGAAAATTCCAAAAGAAAACCATATGTTCGCACTATGCTTTGGATACTGATGGATTGGGATGTAGTATTGAAAGCACTCGTATGTGAGGAAGTCAGTCCTAACAAAATGTTAAAGTTAAGTGCTAAAGTTGTCAGTGGGTTATATATAATGGACAGTCGAGTGCCTCAACTAAAAATACTCGGTGCTTACTTGTGGCATTGTTACGTACCAACTCGCTAAGTATTTGGTTCTTTTTTAAAATTATGTTTTAAAAAATAGTTTTCTAAGATAGACAAAATAAATAGTTAAGGTTAAAAACTATCAATATTTATAACGATGTTATGCTCTTTTGTGAAAGATTAAAAAATGTAAAGTTTTAAGTTTTTTCAAAATTGTGCTTTGAAAGGAATAAGACATGTGTTCTGAAAGTTTTTTAATACCAGAATCACCGTTCGAATCGACCATAAAAGGAATGCTTATGACTTTTAAGTTATGAATATTTCCTACGTACGTTTGCATGCCTCGAATGCGAAAAAAACCGGAAAGGAAAGCTTACTTCGGGTGGATCCGAAGTTAATATATGCTGGTAGCTAGAAATCAGTTTATATTATAATATATATTATGTATCGCAAATATATGCTAGAGTTGGCCGATTATAAGATCTCCATTACAAGACCAAATTTTTAAAACCCATATTCTTAAAGAAGACTCTAGCTATTTAAAAGCACCAACGTTGTGTCATTTCCGATCGTTATTCCGCTATATGACAGCAATAGGATATAGTGAACCGATCTCGGCTGTTCCGGCTTATACATATACTGCGTGCAAATAAGAATGAACTGTGAGGCTACACTAGGGGCTTGTATAAATCATATACCGAAAGACGTATTATGGTTCAGTCAAGAGATTTTTTTTCAAAAATACTAACTCGAGAACGAGACAATATTTTTTAATTCTGTTTCTTAAATTGTGTTAATAAAGGTAAATATAATAATTTTAAAAGAAATAACCGTGTTAACTTCTTTCTACTTTTCGTTAAATAATTATTTAAAAACAAACATTTGGTAAGCCAGGAATAGTATATTTAAGATATTAATAAAACGACATTGAAAAAAAAAAGTTATAAAATAAAAAAATTTAATATTCCCTTTTCATGACTAGGAAACGTTCTTCATCATCATTATTTTTAAATCTAAATTGATTCCACGATTTTTTTTTGTTTTTTTCCTCTACGCATAATTTTAACTGCTCCATAACCCTTAGGCTCCACTGAGCTAAAGTTCAGAACAAACAGACATAGGTTTATCAACCACAGTGCTACTACTTTAAAGCAGTGGTAGGCACTTAATAGATTGTTACATTGATAGTATAATCTTAAAGGAGTGCACTATATGAAATTTGACCCCTATTTGAAAAAGAATTGAAATTATTGAAATTCATATCATTCACAATAGAACAATTTTGAATGTTGCTTACGCTTACATTAGCTTGCAATGTTAGATTTTGAGTGCTATTTTAAAAACACAAAAAAAAGTGAAAGGATAATGAATAAAATCAACATTTTTGAAATGAATACTTTTCAGTGTGTCTTGTAATATGTGTTTGTGTATGTGAAATGTCCAAAAACTTGTTTTGCCCTTTTTATAGAGTGAAAATGTAAGTAGTCAAGCAAACGAATTTTTAGAATTAAATCTCAGTTTAAAAAAGAGATTTACTTGCAAACTAAGTCCAGCCGAGTCCATCAATGAAATTTACTCAACCATTAAACCACGCGGTAAAAGGTTTCGGCGAAAGAAATTGTTGAATCCCTAGAAAACTGTAGATATTTTTATCAAATATTAGATTGGCATAACTTCGAAATTCAGTAGCAGCCTACTTTGGTTTTATTTTATGATTTGTTTGTGTGTTTTCAAACAAAATATGACGTACGGCCCTGAAAAGGTAATGAATTGTGTTTCAGTACACAATGTTTTGAAGCATTCGTATTAGTAACGAATAGCAGAAAGTAGTCTGCGAGCATGTCTTTCATACGTTTATACTGTGTGTGTGCGGCTGAGTTCACGGAGGCACATTTCATATGCTCCTTGAAAAGGGCCCTGCCGACCACTGCACTATGGTTCAGATAACCCCTTTTGTTGTGCAAAATTCAATTTTTAAAAGTTAAAATATCGAAGGGATTTGGATCTTATTGTTTAAAGAAAAGACTGACCATTAATGTTGCCTACCAAAAACTTTCCTGAATTTGGCTACATTCGCGAAATTCGAAGCTATACTCAGCTGGTCGTACCCAAAAGGTTGCGAAGTTAAAAAGTGAAAATCGAATAGTCATTTTCAACTTCATATTTTTGGGAAAAAACAATAAACTGATACAAATTTTGCCATGAATAGTAATCAGTGGGTTTTGTCAAAGATTATAAAGTACATAGATGGGACATCTCATACAAAGAAAAATTTTCTATGGCGGGTTCCAGCAGTGGAACCCGCTGGAACGAGCGGGTTCCATTGCACGACAAGTTAACTTTGAGAAATTTTTCGCGCGACAACGAATGAGGAATAGCCGAGTGGTAGAGTGCTTGGCTGGTGTGCAAAGTAAAACGAGTTCAAACCAGGCTCGGGACATACATTTTTTTTAATTTTAAATCTATTTATATTATATTTTGATTCTTTTAATATGTTTTCCTAAATTTATAATCCAATAAAAAAAAAATACAAAATTGTAAAATCACCTTAACATCGTCTCAGTTCGTAGTGGAACCCGCTGTAAAAATGTCTATAAGTGCGGGTTCTACGGCATTTTGGCAGGCCGCGTCGTGGAACCCGCTCTCAAATGTTTTCATTTTACCATCATAATAAAAAAAATCATCATGATTACATCATAATAAAACCAATCAATTACAATAAAAAATCTAAAAAAAAGTTCTATCCAAGCTTCTATCTTCAAAAATACGAAAGTTGATATTTCTACCAAATACAATTTCCGATCGAGGAAAGAAGGGTGTGTGCAAAGTTTCAAGTCGATAGCTTTAAAACTGAGAGACTAGTTTGCGTAGAAACAGACAGACGGACAGACGGACATGCTCATATCAACTCAGGAGGTGATCCTGATCAAGAATATATATACTTTATAGGGTCGGATATGCTATCGCTTTACGTCAAAATGGAAGAATTTCGATTTTGCCAAAAATAGCTCTCATGTCAATTTTGAACTCTCTAACTCTAAAAACACCAAAGTTATACCATTTTCGATCAATCAGTTATATGGCAGCTATAGGATATAGTCGGCCGATTCCGGCCGTTCCGACTTATATACTGCGTGCAAAGGAAAGAAGGGTGTGTGCAAAGTTTCAAGTCGATACCTTTAAAACTGAGAGACTAGTTTGCGTAGAAACAGACAGACGGACAGACGGACATGCTCATATCAACTCAGGAGGTGATCCTGATCAAGAATATATATACTTTATAGGGTCGGATATGCTATCGCTTTACGTCAAAATGGAAGAATTTCGATCAAATGCATAGGTATTTCAAAGCAGAAATTCCCTTCATTAAGCTCTGTTCATAAACTTGTGTTCCGGTTGTAAGCAAAAGACATTCAATAGGACGCCCTGCATTAGCGTACATTGGCAAATCTCGTAGGGCTCAAAGAAGATCTTGTGGTGTCTGAAGGTGGAAATACAAGGTTTTTAATTGAGGCAGCTTTCATGGCCGCACGAAAACAGCTTAAACAAAATATTACTAGATACAAGCAATATTATAGAAAACGCTGTTTTCTTCCTGTAGGGTATTTTCGTGAAAATTATCCTTCCCTTCCTCTAGTGAAACAAGCTCTATAAATCAGATCGCATTCAGAACGAATCAGACCGAATTGGTTATCTTTGTGATGTTTTCTGTCGAACATCATGTCTGAGTCAACCTAGAAAAACGCATTCAAAGGAAAAATAAAATTAAACATCCAAATGAAGTTTTGAAAATAATTAAGCAAAGGATGACCTATAGATAATTAAGAGGATTTCGATGATAGTTGAATTTCAAAACGAAGAACGAAGATGAAGAGGTTTGACCATAGTTGGGGCTGTTAATAACCAAAACCCAAACATAATACAAAATACAAACATAATCTATATTTTAGATTCCTTCAATAAACCGAGTTCCTTTATATAGAACCCTTCATTTATTTATTTTTTTTAATAAATTAACGATTGTTTTTGCCTACTCGTTTTTTGATTCAATTGGAAAAAAATGTTTAAATTTGTACTGACTTTATAAGTCCAATAAAAAAAATTACATCGAAAAATCATGTTTAATTCGTGAGTTTTAATATATTATATGCCAACAAAATGGGGTCGTGTGGACCATTGTGCACTGCTTTAAAGGTGTGGATTCTCAAGGAAAAATTTTTGTTGCATACTTTTGCGCTTGGGCAAAGCAACAACATCGCCTCCCTACGGCCACACTACCGATTCAGTAGGGAAGCAGACTAAAAAGTCTATAACTCCTCTAAAAATTGATTAACCACTGAAACAATTAGGCATCAAAAAATGTTCCAAATACAACGAAATGGCGCGGTAGTGGGCGTGACAAAATTTAGACAAAAACTTGAGCTCCGCGGATACCATACGAGTTCACGTTTCAAATCGGATAGTTCTATCTCTTCGAGATCCACGCGTTCCAAATTGTAGCCCGTTTCTGTACTGGCGCTATAGAATTTCGCGATTTGTGGTAGCAAGAGGTAATAGCGTGGCAAAAATTTGAAAAAATCTTGAACTGCGTGGCCATTGTATGAGTCTCTATACCAAATTCTTTGCTCTATCTCGTATAGGCTCTCAGTCCATTCGGACGGACGGACATGGCGATATAGCCATAGATACAGCTCTGGTATTAATGCTTTTCAAGAATATACACATATACTTTATGGGGTCGGGGATGAATCCTTCTATACGTTACATACATTTACACGACCACAAAATACCCTTTTTATCTACGAGTACCGGGTATAATGAGCCAGTTGGGATCTGTTGCACATCTACCCGACTACACACAGTTACACCAACTACAATACGAATAAAACTCCTTCAAAAATAATTTTAGCTTGAAGGAATTTTATTCGTATTGTTTGATGATTAGACGTGGCCGTGACAACATATTTTTACGATTTCCTTAGCTTTGTCAACAATTTAGGTATGTGAAGATAGAGAGTGAACGACTACGATGCTTGCCACATGATCAACTGAAGCTGCGTGCCAAACTCGAGCAACGCTGACACTGCACTATGGGCAAATGTCCCAAATTGCGGCATTTTTTACATTTTTTAAGATAGAAACTTTGTACATACATATACCTACAATATAAAGATAGAATTTCGGATTTTTTTTTTGACCACGCATTCCTTCTTTCCTACATTACCATAACGTTCCAGTTTTCGATTTTTTTTTTAGTTTTTTAAAAATATTTTAACGTTAATTTTAATATTTAATATTTTTATTTTAATATTTAATAAATGTGCACTGAATGTATTTAATTAATCTTTTTTTTAGAAAATTTGCATTATAAAGATGATTTGGATACAATTTTGAAAATTAGTTACAGCTAATTACAACTGTAACTATTAGTGAAAATATATTGTCGTTTTTTTTTCATTTTTTCAATTAAAAAGGATAAAGCATTTTCAGGTCTTATTGTTGTCATCTTTTACGGCATAAATTAGTTCATCATACCAGCTTTATTTTCTCTATTTAATGCTTTTTGCAGTAGAGGATTTCAATTTCAATGATCAATGAATTTCCAATGTAGAAGTTGCATGCAACAACAGTGGCATGGAATCTTCAGTTTTATCGACCAGATCAGATGCCGATTTTCGCTTTAACCTTGGTTCTGCCTCAGTGTATGTCAAGCGTTCGCGAGCAGGCTTTTCGCGTGGAATATCATCATCTTTAAAAAATTAAATTTTTTAAGATAATGCGAGCCATTGCGCATGCTATTCTTTAAAACGGTGAAGCATTCTATTGCATTTTAACAAATTATTGTTAATGAATCCAAAGAATACTTTTATTATGTTTTGCTGGAGTCTAGTTAGGAACATTTAGCTTTAAAATTGCCTCGACTGGCCTAGACTCACAACATACATATGTACACTCCACAGAAACTCAGAAACATTTGTAGGAAGCATTAAGTGCTAATAATTAATTTTACATACCTTGATGATTAAATTCCATATTTAGGCTTTTTTGTTTAATTTACAATTTAAACATAAAACTCACAGAAGAAATCATAAAATTTCGAGCCAAATTCTTTTCTTAAAGATGCCAAGCGAAGCATAAAATTTTTTAAAAATATGTTTTTAGTCTTCTTGAATTATTCTAATTCAGAAAATAAAGTCAATTTAATAGTCCGGACCAAAAAAAAAAGTGTAAAAATGCCGCAATTCGGGACTTTTGCCCATAGTGCACTGCTGAAATTGGTAACTCGGGGTTTTTACCACAATCGAACACAGCAAAAATCACATGCAAGAATACATTTTTGATGTCCTGAAGACATTGATAGTTTAATTTTTGCAAAGATTCTATATCCAACTGAATCAATTACTGTTTGTTATTGTTACTAAAAAAATTATTATACCCTTGCAGAGGGTATTATAATTTTGTCCAAAAGTGTGCAACGCAGTGAAGGAGACATATCCGACCCTATAAAGTAAATATATTCTTGATCAAGATCACCTCCTGAGTTGATATGAGCATGTCCGTCTGTCCGTCTGTCTGTTTCTACGCAAACTAGTCTCTCAGTTTTAAAGCTATCGTCTTGAAACTTTGCATACACCCTTTGCACGCAGTATATAAGTCGGAACAGCCTGGATCGGCTGACTATGTCCTATAGCTGCCATATAACTGATTGATCGGAAATGGTATAACTTCGGTGTTTCAAAGAAAGCATTTTACATGAAAGCTAATTTTGGCAAAATAATACGACATGCTAAATTTCTTAAGGGTCGGCCGACTATATCTTATAGCTGACATATTACTGAACGTTAATCCATATTGGTCAGTTAATCCGACCTAACCAATTTCATATGGATTAATTTTTATAGCGGATATAGAGCGCTATGCCAGGGAAAACTCTAAAAACTACGATTTGACTGAATTTTGCCTTGGACTAGTTTTGTATCAAACAATTTTTCAAAAACTTGCTTGAACTGTCGATACAAAAAAATTTTTAATTTGGACATCGCTCACTGAGAGATATGATTGACGTTCGTACCGAGACCGAAAAAGTCAATTCAAAAAGTGTAAAAAGACTAAAAAGCACTTTGAATTCTGTTCGATGTACAGTGGTACAATGTGTAACTTTTTGAATGAAATAGTAATTTTTTGTTTAATAATTTGTTTTTCTATTATATTTATATAAAGTTCAGCCTAACAATAAAGAGTAAGTGTTTTGGGTATTTATTGAACTCCGTCGTTCGCTTAGAATAAATTTTAAAGTTGAAAATGCTCTCTCAACAGATACTTAAGTAGCCGGGATGCAAACGGTTGCTCTGAGACTTTTTGATCAGACCATTGAACAACACTTATTTTGAGACCCCAGCAATCGGTTAACAGTTATTTTCGAGCTATGCTTTTTATTCTGCTTCCCTACTGAAATGCTTCAGGGTTTTTTGCCTGAGCACAACTGTATTCAGAAACAATTTTTTGCTGGATGTTCATACCTATAAGCTTTAGTTAAAGTGTGTTTAGTAATATGCCGTCGAGATGGGAAACTCGACTATATTCGTTCTTTCTTCTTAGAGTTTTCGGGTTTTTCGGGAGAGTCGGGATTTTCTATGAATGTTATTTTTGTCCAATTCATTCATTCTTCCAAACTATATCGGATCGTAGGATACTATAGGATCGGCCGACTATATCCTAGTGCTGCCTTATTACTTTCGTTAAGACAACATTTGTTTTTATTCGGCACGCGCAAATAAAACTTAATAAAATTCAGTAACGAGCCGTTTAAGAATAGTTTTGAATGTGTAGTTTTATATCAGTGGTCGGTTGGTTCCTATTCCAGGAGCATAGGATATTTCTCTGCGCGAGCTCTGCTGCTCACACACAGTATGTTTTATACCAGTGCACTATAGGAAATTTGAACTTTTTCTGGCCAAAAACCATTTTTTTAAAGTTAAAGGATTTAAATAAATTTTACTGCATATCATTCACAATAGATTAATTTTTAATTCTGCATACCAGAAATTTTCATAGATGGCGCCACTGCGAAGAAATCAGCTATTAAAGCTGTTGATGTTAACATTTACATGAGCTTAAAATTTACGATTTTTGGTGCGATTTTAAAAACGCGAATACAGAAAATTTTATGGACGAAATCAAAAGTTTTGAATCAAAAGTACGTGAAGTGTCCAAAAAACTTGTGTTGTCTATTTAATAAAGTGAAAATGTAAGTAGTCTAGCAAAAGAAATTAATAGAATTAAATCACATTTTTAAAAAGAGATTTAAACTAAGTCAAACCGAGTCAAACATTGTAATTTAGTTCATGTTGTGGATTGTTTAATTTTCTTCAAATGAGTGAAATATGAATATGCACTTCTATGAACTTTCGAAGAAATTCATAATTTAAGGAGGCAACCTCAAAACCTTGAATGTGAATCTGTTAGCTGTGAGACTAGTGCAAAATCGCTTTAAATTAAAAAAAAAAAGATTTTTAACAAAAAAAAAAACCACACCTACTTTTCCAAAAAAAGACTATGGCTTTATAAAACACTAAAAAAGAACCAAATTGAAATATCTTGCTTGGTTCAACAGTTAACATGTTATTTTTAAATAGGGCGCAAACTCAAATCCATATAAACTCAAATCAAAATCTAAATATCTTGCTTAGTTTTTGAGTTAGAACGTGTTTCTTTAAAAGTGGGCGGTGCCACGCCCACATTTTTTTTAAATCTTTAATCTGACCATGTGAACTTAAATCAAAAATCAGAACTTAAATATCGTGTTTCGTTCTTGAGATATTATTTTTGGCCAGAAAAAGTGGTCATATTTCGTATAGTGCAGTGGTTTGCACCCCAATACATTGATTTGATTTTAACTCAGTATTAGTAACGAATAGCAGAAAGTTGGCTTTCTTTCATACATACATAGAAAGCAATGTAACTTTTATTCTTTTTTCTGCTTAACTTGTAGAGCATAAAAAAGTTCTGGGACGTAACATACAAAATTATTTTGAAATTTGTTTTTTATTCAAATTTTTATTTTATTTTTATGTTTATAATACTTAAATATAAATAAGTTGCATTTTAAAGGGGCTTGGCTTAACTCTAATATTGTATTCAAACGCTTTTTTATATATTAATATATATATTATATAAATAATATATATCGCCTAAATTTTTACGTATTTATACTTCGGATCTATTTTGTTCACCCCAACCCGCCCCTTCTTATAAATCCGATTGATTACACCTAAAATTTGTATAGCGAAATAAACTATAACACTTATATATACTGCCATATATAAATATATATAATGGTACATATATGTTTTTTATATTTATAGGTATGTTTACGTGTATTTTACAGGCTACCAAATAAATTAGGTTAATTCGTTTGTTTAACGTAAAAAGCGTTTTTGGGTTCCTCCAAATTTTAGGGACTAAAAGAAAGCTAGAGTAAAAAAATATGAATATATTCGTATCTTATGCAATGCCTAGTTGGTAGTGCCAGCGGCTTTGCCAATTTGAAATACCACATTAATATCTCCCAGCGTCGAAAGCAGCGTCTTGGGGTTGTTCTGGGATTGCGACTGTGGGAGGCGGTGGCAACTGATAATAATAGTTACCATGGTATGGATGAGCGGGGTACTCTTCAGGTGTACAGCTTGGTGCCCCTTGTGTTGCCAATTTTGCACAGCAGTCCATCGTCTTGGCGTTTGAATTTGTTGCTCTTATCTATAATCCACCAATGATAACTTCCTGCTGAGCTTCGTCATCCATGTCAGGTATCTCCTGCTTGTGCACTATCATCCCTTCGCCGCCAGGTTGGCGAGGCGCTGTTTGCCCGTATTTTTGGTGTATGCCACGGTGCCTCTTAAGGGCAAAGCGATCAGCAAACGCAGCAGAACATATCTCGCATTTGTATGGCTTTTCGCCGGAATGCACCTTGGCATGGTTCTTTAGATGGGCAGCCTGCGAGAATGCTGAACCACAAATTTCACACTTATACGGCTTTTCACCTGTGTGGATTCGTCTATGGTTCCAAAGCGTTGCGTGTCGGGCAAATCCTTTATCACAAACCCCACATACGTATGGTCGTTCGCCACTGTGCGTACGTTCGTGATTTTTAAGATGTGGCGATTGGGAGAACTGCATACCGCAGGTTTGGCATCTGTGGTGGTAAATTAATAGTTAGCAGATACATACATGTTTAAAAGAATGAAATTTATTACTTGTATGGCTTTTCACCCGTATGAATCCGTGCATGGTTCTTTAAATAAACAGCTTTGGCAAAAGCAAGTCCACAAATGCTGCACTTGTAGTTTTTTTCCCCGCTATGTAGTTTTTTATGTGACCAAAGGCTCGAATATCGTGAAAACAGTCCACCACATATATTACAGCTAAACGGTTTCGATGGATTTCTGCAAGACGAACATCTTGGTTTTGTTAGCGTAAGAATGGATTGCATTGAGCTCTACTACTCACTCAGTTTTTACAGTGACGGTTTGTTTAACCGAACCTCCAGCTCCACCCAGACCCCCATGAGAATGCTGCCCCACGATAACCATGCCGGATCCGTTGCACTTTTGACATTTTGTCATCTGCTGTGAATTTCGTTTTTTCACTGGGTGGTGGCCGGATCCACTGGTCGGTTCCCTTTTCGGGGTCGTACCACCTGTTTGCGATGCTACAATTTGCTGTAACTGAGCCTGGGCCTGGGGTGTAGTTGATATGATTTGCACTGGGTGAGCCATTTGGCCTAGCAAAGAGAGGTAGGTATGAATTTCGGCAATTTTGGTATTTTGAGAATTTTTACCGTCTTGTGCAACAAAAAGCTGCTGCTGTTGTTGCTGCTGCTGCGCCGCCTGTTCAGCTTGCATGCAGGTTTCACATCGGACTTGCTTCGGACCCTTGCGTTTGGATTGCTGAAGGATAGGGCCTCCACAATTGATGCACTTGCTTGCTTTGGAATCATGTTGCTGCTGCATTACAGATTGCTGAACAGGCTCAAGCGAGTCAGATGCAACAATCTGTATTTGACCCATCTGTCCGTTGTTAATAATATTTTGGGCTTGCACTAATCCTTGGGCGTTGACGACAGCTATAGAGTCGCCACCACTTTGCTGGGAGGTGTGCTGTTGCTGTTGTTGTTCACCGTCTGTATGCATTCGCTTATGAGCGTTCAGTAAAGCGAGGTGGGGAAACATGTCCGAACAAACATCGCACTTAAAACTGATGTTAGATATAGTGTTCTGAAACCAAAATATATTCCATAATGTAGAGAAAAAAAATGCAAGCCAGTGGCCTCAACTTCTTACAGCTGTAATGGGCTTGTTTTGATTGACGATCTGAATGCGCCCTTGTGCGTCGACTGTTGCGATTCCTAACGCTGTGCCCTGATTAAGCGGCATCCCATTCACCAAGGCATAATTGTAGCCACCCACCGGTTGGGCAATATAGCAGGTTTTGTTATCATCCGTGGTGGCAAGCTGGGCGAGATTGACAGTTCCTCCATTTCCCTTTAAAATTAAGACAAAACTGAGAACCTTTTTTCCACAAAGAGCATCGAGGTTCTTGACTTACATTCGTCGTGTAGTAGAAGGTGGGTTGTTGCTCTGTTTTTTGCCCCTCAATCTTCGGCTGCTTAAGAATAGTACCATCTGCGGTTTGGTACTGAATTGTGGCCGGTTGCCCGTTGATTGCGTTTGTGAAGATTATATTTTTAGTGAGGTCTTCCATTGCGTCCGCTGGTCACCTAAATATAACTAATTTATATTTACAAACGTTACTTTTTTAGATTCTTAAATATAAAGTTCACATCACACAACACTGAAATACGCGGCTTCCAACACTAACAAACAACAACAAAGCAAACGAAAAAATGGCGTCGGGGGAAAAAAATATGTACATATGCGACATAAAATTTATTCAGTCGAGCGGCAACCGGTCGATTTCACTACCGATTAATTGGTTCATTGTATTTTTCATTTCCATTTGTTTGTATAAGGCCAAATATAATTTTAACACTTTACAAATTCAAAATTTACCCTTTACGCAACCAGGTCACTCGCTAAAAGAAATCCTATGTGCGTATCACAACGCCCACTAAAGTAAACGTGTATAATTTTAAAAGTAAACTTATGTTTATGTTGCTTGAATACAAAAAAAATTACAATTCGGATTTTGTTCGCAAACTTATGCTTAGTTCACGAAGAACAAAACTTTTATTATTGTTTTTTTTTTGTTTCCTCTAACAAATTCCTGCACTTTTCTGCGTGCTCTCTCCTCTATCACACAGTTATGCCGCCGTATTTTCTTAAAATCGAAATCTGGTCGCACTGAGTGAAGTATTTTCGAAGTCAAGATAGCGTTGACTATGCTTTGTCGGGAAGGAACGGGGAGTTCGTGAGGATGAAAGGAATATGCTAGATATTCTATTGATTTAATATTTTTATTTTTATTAAAATTCTGTAAATATTTAAATAATAAGAACTAAAACTTTTTAATTATATTAGGACTACATATTCATATATTTTTTAAATAATTTAACTGTTCCTTATGTTGAAATGTTGTTGCTAAAAAAATTATTTATTAATTACAGTGTGAACGAATTGTTAAAAAAATATGCTGCCTCTTTAACGTTATAGTTCGCTATATTTTCTAAATCTTAAGCCTAACTTATCTATTGCGGCAAAAAGAGGGGAATTCGCACGAGAGCGAATATGAGCTTTCGATCTCGATCCGCCCTAATCTACCTTATGCTAGATTAGAGATAACTAACTAAAGATAACAAACAAGCATTTTACTAAAATCAATTCAAAACTAATAAAACAGCGTTTCCGTTTACAGCCAATGCAGATCGAGCTGCATTCACGCGCAATTCATTAATTTCTATAGTACTATTCTGTTCCCATATTATAATATTATAATTACTTTATTATAAAAAATAAAAATAAATTTTATATATGCTTGCGCATGCATAAAATAGGCGACGTCTATTTTATTATGCGCCTAGTTTTAATACGAGAAAAGGGACCTTCCAAACTGGCGGAGTCGCCATGGCAGGAGTTGGAACTCTGAAAACTTTCGACTTAATAGCCCCTGAAAATTCCGCAAATTTCCGCAAAATTCCGAAAATTCCGGGCTCGTTCCGCAACGGCACCTCCCATTCCTGTGGCCAGACTGGCCACATACGTCGAGTAGTCAAGCTGGGTCTACCAAATCATCACCGCCGAGCCCAGTAACGCGCGATGCAACAGGGCATCGCACGCCCGCGCTCATCAAAATAGTTCCGGTGGTTAGCCCGAAGAATTCCGTGGCCGTGTTCATAAACGGTCACTCATGCCAGTTTGAAGTTGATTTTAGCTCGCCCGTCACCCGTTTTTGCGACGGCACACCATGAATGCCTTCTATAGAGGTTTGACCTGGTGCCGCACGTGACGATCAGTGCGAGGTTTCTGATAATGCGATTGTTGTATCGGATAGACGCGTCGGTGATTCCCTGGAATGGATTGGGGCTTTGCTGACAATCGCTAAGCTTTCGGTTGCACTTGACGAGACACTTGACATCTTTAGATCCCTTGCCCAGGACTCCAAAAAGGGTTCTTTTCTTGTAACTTCAGCGAACGAGCGGTTGGACGGCTGCGGCTGGGCCTTCCTCTTATTGGCTTGGGGGCTCCTCCTTCCGTTGATCGCTGCCTCTTTGCACTCTGCCCGATCTCTTTGGCAGGACCCACCGTGCTTTTTCGAATCCATCCTCACACCCGCCTTTACCGGTTGGAAGTCGGGCAGGATCTCCCTTGCCCATTTTATAATCTCGGCCTAGTCCTGGTTGGCCTCTGCCGATGGGTCCACCCTCATTAGCATGAAGGATGCTCTCCTCCTGTCTTTATAGAAGCCTTTCCGCTGCGTCGAGTGAGACGCTTCCGGACCAGGGTTCACCTTAGGGGCCCCGCCGATTGGATTAGAGGTTGACCCTGGGGTCTTCCGCTTCCGCTCTTCTTGACATAACTCGCTTGTCATAGTAAGCCTGGTTAAAACTGGGAGGTCGGCAGGTACCCCAAAGTCCGCATATTAGCGTTCGAGCCCCCCCTCGGAAACGCATCCTTCGGCATATGCTGTTCCACCTTGGATTGGGGTGATTTAAGGAAGGGTGTGTTCTTCTACCCGCCCGACTACAATTAGACAGCATCCTGGGCAGAGACATGAACTTACCGGGATTCCAGCCGCCCTCACGTAGAGACTATAGTCGCATAACCAGCGGTGTATACAGTTACGGCACGCAATGGCTTGCATGTGGGTTCCCCTGTTGTACCCGTTGGGTGAGAGCGTACAAAAACCCTTAAAAAGGCAAGTGAATTTTCACGTTACTCCAAAATCTTAATTAGATTGTGTTCAAACAAAATAATGCACCTTAACAGTTATTAATGTGTAATATATATATTTTTTATTTTAATTAAAGTTCGATTAAGGGATGAAAAAGCCGTTTTGAAAAGACTTTTCATCACTTTTTTATATCAACTCAGGAGGTGATCCTGATCAAGAATATATATACTTTATAGGGTCGGAGATGTCTCCTTCACTGCGTTGCACACTTTTGGAAAAATTATAATACCCTCTGCAAGGGTATAAAAACTGCAGTAGTATAGATTTTTCAAGATATCTAATAGCTTGGTCAAATTTTACCGTGCATAACGCTGAATTAGCTCAGCTTATTATCTGATTTTTAAGGGTCAAATCCGTTTATTCGCCATGCCCCGATGGAGTACCAGGCTGTGTAATAAAATACTGTGCCAGGGCTCTGTGCAAACCTCTTCATAAACTTTTCAACTTATCTTTGGAAACCTCGATTTTCCTCTGAAATGAAAGGAATCTTTCATAATTACCGTACATAAAAAAGGGAAAAAGTCCGATGCAGCCAACTGCAGAGGCATCTCTTAATATTCGTTCCAAAGTTATTTGAAAAATTAATAACTCCTTATTTGGAACACTTTTGCTCTTCGATCATCTCTCCATGGCTTCATTAAGCGTCGCTTCATCACCACTAATTTACTGGAGTCGACATCCTTTGTCATAGATGGTATTCAATAGTTTTCTAGACGTTATTTGACGTATCTGAAATTGCCAATATTAAATAGTTTGAAATGTTGACTAAGTTCTTTTTGACAGCGTCTGTTCGGATGAAATTTACATGAGAATCCAAGCGAAAAGATTAAAAATTGTCATCTATCATGAAAGTGTCACCTGTCAGTGATAGTCAACTTAATGAGTTCGTCCATCCTATTGCATCCTAAGTTCCATTATTCCATCATCATAAATTCATCATCATCAATCGTCCATCTTATTAAATTAGTAGATATTCTTTGAGTTATTTTGAATTTGTGGGAAAAAAAAACATTTTTATGCCAATTTTATTGCAAAATATTGTACCAATTTTTCTCTTACACCAAAATATATTTAAAATAAACAAAGGACGGCTATTATAATTTTTATGTATGCGCAAGCATATATTAAATTCATTGAAGTGACAATAGTATAGTGTGGGTACAGAATAGTAGTACAGGAATTGATTATTATGACTGGGAATCACTCACGGCTGAATGAAGACGGAATTCAAATGGCGAGATCGATGCGTGAGTTTATGCATTTGAATACATAACACCCCTTAAAACCCAGATCGTAGTTCTGTGGGCGGCGACAGTCATGGGCTAACCTGCGCAATGGTCCTCCAGTTTTGATTAGTCCAGGCGAGCGCTGTGGCCCAACTGGAGATGTTCAGCTACAGCTTCAGCTGGGGTTAGAGAGAAACAGCAAGTTTGTGATGATATCTTTTATAGTGTTGGCTGCTGGAAAGGACTGCGCAATCGCAGCTGATTCAGGTGCCGTCTGACTGTTCAGTCTTTCTCCAGACACACCGAGTTGGTTGCTAAAGTGGTCGCGGTAACAGTAGAATCAGTTGTCCATTCGATAATTAAACCTTCTTCTATTTGTAGCTCGTAATGTATGGTATTTCTGACGTTGGCCAGCGTCATTAATAGTCATTAGTTAGTCTGCATTATTAATTTAGGTTCCAAGCTGGTGAATCAATTTACAGTTATACGCTCGCGAAAAAATTGCTCGACGCGGCAACGGGTTGGATATGAGTCCAGCAGTGGACTATGGTCTGAAGTGTAAAATTCCTCCATATAAGTAGTTTTGGAATTTTTCAACTCCCGCGACTAACGCTACAGGTTCTCTGTCGATCTGTGCGTAGTTCCTCTCTGCTTTTGACAGCGTGCAAGAGTAAAATACGATTGGCATTTCTCTCCCGTCTTTCTATTCCTGGCTAGGTACTGTTCCTAGCCCGTATGGTGCCGCATCGCAATTTAAGATCAGTGGGCGGTCTGGAGAGTAGTGTATTAGGACCGAATCCGACGCGAACAAATTGTTTAGCTCTGCGAAAGCTTTTAGGTGTACTGGTACGTTCTTGTCTAGACGTCTATGTAATTGGACCAAATGGGTCCGCATTCCAAACGCTTGGAACTGCTTTTTCTCTTTTGGAGGTGGCGCCTCATGGATGGCTCTAACTTTATCAGCTGATACCCTAATACCGAGAGCGTCAAATTTGAAGCGAAAAAATTCAATGGATGCGTCTCCAAACTGACATTTGCGCCGACGTAAAGCTGCCTTGTCCATACGGGGTGGAACTTCGTTTAGTCTACCCGCAAGTTCTTACACAATATTGTTTAAATACGGAAGGATGTGGTATGTCCTGCAGTATTCTTTCAATGCAGTTTAGGAATATTATAAAATATTTATATAAAATAAAATACACTATTTTAGTGCCTATTCCAACTTTTGACTTAACAAAAAATGAAATAAACAACTACGTTTTTTTCGCTGAGGGAAGGCTCTGCTCTCATTGTTTTTCTCTGCTACTCATACACTCAAATTTTAAACATGTGTGCGTTTTGCCCACCACTGCGATAAAAACACCGTACTTGTAGCATTTCCGATCCGACTTATATACTGCGTGCAAAGGAAAGAAGAGTTTGTGCAAAGTTTCAAGTCGATAGACAGACGGACATGCTCATATCAACTCAGGAGGTGATCATGATCAAGAATATATGTACTTTGTAGGGTCATGGTCATAGATAGATATATTTACTTTGAATCATTTTAACTTATTAAGTTGAACCACTAATTATACATACTGTATGGTTAGTGGTTGAACCAAATAACACTTCATTTTGTAATCAAAAGGAATTCATTTCTGTTGTGAAACGAAAGAAAATTTTTTTATTTTCAAATAAAGAACATTTTTTTCTTCACCACTTTTTATCACCGAACGAAATGTTACCTGAAACAAAGATATCTCGTGGCGAAACGGAGTACGCCGGTCTTACTTGTGGACTTAAAGATTTTAAGACTCAATCCAAACTAATTTATATAACTTGGGCAGAGGTGTAAACTTTGACAAAGGCTTTGGAGAAGTCAGTGTAAAATGGCATCAACCTGAAATCGGTTTTAAAAAGCTTTAATGCAGTGCATAGCGAAGACCGCTAAATTAGTTGCAGTGGACCTCCCAGGCAAGAAACCATGCTGGTTGGGGGATTTTAAATTAAGAGTAAGAATAAATTCTTCAGTAACTATCCGTTCCAGTATTTTAGCGACGTTGCAAATTTTAGCCATAGGTTGATAGTTGGTAGCATCAGACCTACTGCCACATTTGTGAATAGGCGTGATAGAAGTAATCTTCCACCAATAGAGAATCTACCGGATGAAAGCGACAATAATAACAGCAGTTAAAGGGAAGTAGAAAGGAGAAGAGATACTTCAGTCAAAGTCAAGTCAAAAACAATTTCCAAGCCAATAATGCCCAAAAACCGAGACTGAAACAGAAAACAAAGGCAAACTTTTGGACTGCACCTCTTTTTTCATTGGCAGTCTGGTAATAAAAATTGTCATTTTGTTTTCTTTACAAATAACGAAAGATTAAATTCAATATAATATTTTACCTTATCTCCCATATTGGGCCAGTAATACATCCGATGAACTCTCGATAGAGTCTTGAGGAAATCGATATCCTTGTTTCTTTGCCAGTTTCTTTTCTTTACCTTACCTTGTTTCTTCACCCTTTCCAGATACTTCTTGACTATGTCCGTCTGTCCATATGAACGTGTTGATCTGAGTGACTATAAGACATAAAGCTATAAGAGATAGAGCTATCTCATTTGAAACTTAGTATCGTATGGTTTCCGCGCAGATCAAGTTTGTCTCAAGAACATAGAATGTATTTAACATAGAAAAGGAATCGTCTCCGACCCTATAAAGCATACATGTAAAGCATACATATTCTTGATCAGCATCACCAGTCGAGTCCATATTAGCCATGTCCCTCTGTCTCTGTCTCTTATAGACTATAAGAGAAAGAGATAAAGAATTGGGCATGGAGACCCATACAGTGCACACGGAGTTCAAGTTCTTTTTTCAACTTTTTGCCACGCCCCCTCCCGCCCCAAAAAATTGCGAATTTCTGTAGCGCCAGTACAGGATGGATGCCCTCCAGGCTTAGCTCATCGACTTCGATGAGTCGTAAAAGTGTATTTGCAACGACATTGTCTTTGCGGTGTTCGATTTCAAACAGTCAAAGTTGAAATACTAACAAGAAAGAAAGAAGAATAAAATTAAATTTCGCCTTTTATCATGCCACGACTATTTTTATTTAGTTGCTTAAAATGCCTTTGAATATATATTTCAATTTTCAGACCGATACCTTACTTCGTTAAAAAGTTACGTATTGCTCCTACTTTCTTATATGAGGCTCAGTACATGGCTAATTTGGCTCATTTTGTCTAATTAAAAAAAATTCTAAGTTAAATAAATTTAAAACAAGAAAGTAAAGCTAACTTCGGGCGGAGCCGATGTTGATATACCCTTGCAGTTAAAACCGGAATATAGAATAGAATCTGTACCAAGTTCCAGCTTTCTATCTTCAAAAACACGAAAGTTGGGTCATTTCCGATCGTTCAGTTATATGGCAGCTATAAGATATAGTCGGCCGATCCTTATGAAATTTGTTAGGTTGGATCAACTGACCAAAAATAGAATCTGTATTAAATTTCAGCTTTCTATCTTCAAAAACACGAAAGTTGGGTCATTTCCGATCGTTCAGTTATATGGCAGCTATAGGATATAGTCGGCCGATCCTTATGAAATTTGGCATGTCGTAATGTTTTGCCAAAAATAGCACTCATGTCAAATTTGAACTCTCGAACTCTAAAAACACCAAAGTTATACCATTTCCGATCAATCAGTTATATGGCAGCTATAGGATATAGTCGGCCGATCCAGGTCGTTCCGACTTATATACTGCGTGCAAAGGAAAGAAGGGTGTGTACAAAGTTTCAAGTCGAAAGCTTTAAAACTGAGAGACTAGTTTGCGTAGAGACAGACAGACGGACAGACAGACGGACATGCCCCTCGATTAGGGGGGCACTAACACACTCGATTAGTGCAATAATAGTATATTTTAAGACTACAATGAAATCGTAACAATATTCTAAGTTAAAAATGTGTAATTATGTATATATTATATATTACTTGTATATTAAAAAAAATAAATTTTTTGTAATGTGTACATCATTAGAAAAAAATTCGTTAAAGCTTTTAAACACTAGGCCTGAAACTTCAAATACCGGTTATATTAAAAACAAAATATTTAGAGTCATAATGATAAAGAGCTTTTAAAGCTTTTTACCTAAAATAAAAACTTATGATTAGGCAAGTTTTAAAAATTCGGTCATCTCTGTTTCTTCGCACCAGATTTTTGCACATCTATTCAAAGTGTACCCAAACATAAATTTGGGTTTTTATTTTTTAATTTACGGTTTGCTCGATCGGATCATTCAAGAGCATTTTAAGAGTTCGATACGTACGACTAATTTTGTTTTTCTTTTCTTTTTATAAAATTAGAAAATACCTTTAATGGTCAGGGGAATTCAGGTAAATAAAATAAAGCTGACTTGCAATGTTACATATATGTAAATGTTACAATTACTCATTAGCTCTCCGTTTAAAATTTTGTTTGGCCTTAGTTGGGGGCTTACCCAAGTTGTTTACTTCTTTGCGAAATTCTCGCATTTAATATTGTATAAACAAACAATGTAAAATTTACAATGTACCAAATATTTCATAAATATTTCATAAAATATTATCAAATCAATTGTGCAATTATTGAATATTGTATTCTATACATTTAAAAAAATGGAATTTCTGAGATCCCATGGTTTAAAATCACTTTGAAAGGGTAACGGACAAGGCGTATGTGTAGATTGAGGTAGTCAACCGTCTAAAAATCGAGTGCATGCCGGCCTCACGGTGCCAGTGTTTGAGAGACCATCGAGGAGATTGTTCCCTATGCCGCTCCAACTTCAAAAGTTATTTAATCATTTGTTTTATAAAAAATGCTGGTCGTGTCCAAGAGTCTGTTGATTACATTGTCGGTTCTGCTGCTGCCAACGAAACGATTCGGATCGGTGGATGGCCATAAAGTGACGGTAAGCACACTCTTAGATGTCTATTTAAGCAAGCCGACATAAATTTGTTAATACATTCAGATTTTCTAATAGTTCTTCTTAAAAATAGTTGTCAATCTTCTCAGAGGGGTAAAAAAAAATGAATTCAAAAATCGATTTTTTTTCTTTTAGTTAGGTTTCTATTAGTTTAGAGGATTTAATGTTTTAGTTCTATTAGTTTAGAGGAACGGATTCATAGAAAATTTATTAAAAATTATTTATTTAAAATTATTTATTAAAAAAATTAAAATTATTTATTTATTTAAAATTTATTAAACAAAAAAAAATGCTCCGTTAAAATGCTCAGGTAATGCTCCATAAGTCAATTTACAGCCTAATTCCGTACGTCCTGATAAGTCTATCAATAAAGTTACTTGAACTAAAATAGCAATGTATGTATGTATTTGAACAATATTTGTTAAACACATGCACACAAATCATCTGATCTGATCTCAACAAGTAACTATTAGCTGTAATGATAATAATGTCGTATGCAAAAGATTTTAAACAAAGGCTTGCCAATTTGAAATGTTTAAATCGTTGGGCTTGTGAATGGCACATGACATGTGTCAATTTCCCCATGCTTATCAATTTTGATGACGCGCTTCGTGTGCTTGGACTTCGTACCACCTTCTATAGGTTGCTCTGGGTAGCTACAATGCTTGTGCCTTTGTTGCAGATTAAAAACAATAATAACAGCATGTCTCTATCGATTGGTAGTTGATAAAGTTCATGAAAAATCCATTTTAAATAAAAATTAAATCGTATTTTTTAGTATAATAGCATAAGAATGATTAAAAGGTATCTACAAATTTTTTTTTTAAATATCAAAACAATGAGTTGGACTTCTTTCAGTCTGTAGGGGAAACAAGTAAAAAAATCGTTACATAAAGATTTGTTTTCTAATTAATAATTAAAAGCATTAAGTACGAATTTCATTAATTAATAATTAATACGTTTTAAAAATACTTGAGAGTATTGTATTGTTTGAGAGTAGGTATAAATATTAGTTATTTTTTCAATTCACTTTTTAAACAAAAAATAGTTTATTGTTTCACAAACAGCTCTTATTTAAATTATTCAATATTAAAACTGTTTTTAAAGTAAACATAAAACAAGAAAGGAAAGCTAACTTCGGGCGGAGCCGAAGTTTATATACCCTTGCAGCTAAAACCGGATATATATCGCAAACATCGGATATAGTTGGCCGATCCTTATGAAATTTGGTAGGATGGATCAAAATTTAATCTGTACCAAGTTCCAGCTTTCTATCTTCAAAAACACGAAAGTTGGGTCATTTCCGATCGTTCAGTTATATGGCAGCTATAGGATATAGTCGGCCGAGAGGGTTATCATGCCCAAATTAAAATGGGCGTGGCCAACAATTTTTTGAGTAGACATATAAGCTAGAATTGACCCCAATATCAACTGACAAAAATTTCAGTGTCCTAGGTGTCCTGGTTCAAGAGCTACAGGATGTTGCGTATATGCAAACATATGCAAATTACAAACTAAATAATATTTTCATGCGGGGTTTTGTTTTAAATACTCCCTTACCTTTCTTTATAAAGTTGCTAAACTTGGTATTAGGATTAAGTTATTATTTTAATGTTTATTTAACACTTTTCGAAAACCAAACTTTTCAAACCTTTTTTTGCACAATGAATTTGTCAGCTACACTAGCGGAAAAATAGCTACAAACTGAACGCGTGTGCAACTGGCTACCGAACAAATATGTATAATCTTACTCAACACATGCAGCTATTTTTCTGCGAAAGAATCAAAACAAAAAGTATTAAAATACGGGAGATAAAGGCTCATAAATACAATGTTGCGTATATGCAACATCGGGCATGAGAGGGTTAATATTATCAAATATCATCAATACGATATTTTTTCAAAATACAACAACCTTTCTTCTAACCTTCTACTAAATAATAAAATCTCTAAAAACGTTTGCTTAAAAAGAGTGAAATCGGGAATAATTTGGGGGATTTGGCCATTTTTATGGTATGAAGTCAAAAAGGATCAACTAACTATTGATATTTGTGTTTTTTTATAAACATCTTAAGGGGAGACATTTGAGAGACATTCGAATAAAAGCGGATTTTCTGGAATTATTTTTGGCCAAATGAAAAAGCCATTCGAAAATTTGTAAATAAGGTTTTATTATATTATATTTAAGGTACAAAATGAATTTTTTTTTTGTCCATGGTCGGACAGTAACGTCCTTAATTTTTGATCTAGAACAAAAAATCAAGTTTGGTTAATTTCTATACATCAACAGCTATAGAATATAGTCGGCCGTCACAAAAAAAATTGTCATAGTATTAATTGTTTATTAGGTTGAATATAGTACAAAACCGTGTTTGAAATATTTCTAACACCCTCAAAATCTGCATTTCTTTAGAAGAAACGGGTTTTCGGGACTTCTTTGCTCTTAAAAATTCCTTAATGGGTAATTTTTAGCGGATTTTAAAATTTCTGAAGTTTTTCAAAAGTTTAATGTTGTAGCTTTTGAGAAAAAAATGAATCTTACATTTTTTAAAACAAAATAAATAATTTTTACACAAGAAACTGACTATTTCGAATTTTTGTCGTGTTTTTCCGACTTTGACGCCATTTTTTCGGTACAACTTCCTAGAAATGGTATTATTTTTGACACATATCAATATTGACTCATTAATCCTGAATAAAACGAGACCAATTTCATTAAAAAATTATGAAAATTGTTGAAGTTATAACGCTTTTCCCAAAACTAGTCAGTGTAATCTTTATCTACGCCCTTTTCCGACCCTTTTTCGACAATTTTAAAGCTAGAGGCTTTTTTAAACCCTTGCAGAGGGTATTATATTTTTGGCATAAGTGTGCAACGCAGTGAAGGAGACATCTCCGACCCTATAAAATATATATATTCTTGATCAGGATCAAGAATATGATCCTGAACCTTTCCGGGTTGATATGAGCATGTCCGTCAGACCGTCTGTCTGTCTGTCTGTCCGTCTGTCTGTTTCTTTGCAAACTAGTCTCTCAGTTTTAAACTTTGCACACCCCCTTCATTTTTTGCACGCAGTATATATGTATGTAAGTCGGAACGACCGGGATCGGCCGATTATATCCTGTAGCTGCCATATAACTGATTGATGGTATAACTTTGGTGTTTTTAGAGTTAGAGAGTTGGAATTCTATGGATTCTATTTTTGGTAAAACGATATGACTCACCCACTTTCATTAAGGATCGACCGACTATATCCTATAGCTGTCATATAACTGAAAGATCGGAAATAACCCAACTATCGTGTTTTTGAAAGTTTTTGGTTTTATTTTGCCTTTGAATGCGTCTTTCTAGGTCAGTGAGGGGCAAACTCTCATTTTGTATATACATGCTATAATATACGCTACCCGCGTGCTATAATAAAAAATATAAATCTGAAATATAGATGGGAAAGCGTAGTTTTTCATTTGTTTAAGAACTGTTTCTACAAAAAAAACGTTCTTTAAAATAAATATGTACACTATTTTAGTGCCCATTCCAACTTTTGAATTAACGAAGAATGAAATAAATTAATTATCGAAATAATCGCTCAATAAATGCTCTACCTCATGGTTTTTTTGCTGCTACGCATACACTACACACACTATGTTGACAAAAGAAATAATCAGATCTGATGTATCCATTGCTCGACGGAAAACATCTCAAAGATCATCAATTCGGTCTGTTTCGATCTGAATTATAGGGCTTGTTTCGCGCTTCAGTTCCCTCTTCTCAAAAATACGCCACAGGAAGAAAATATCGCTTTCTAAAATATCACTTGAATGCACTAATATTTTGTTTAACCTGTTTTGGTGCAAGTGGCTGAATTAACAAACTTGTGTTTCCCCTTTCAGAAACCACAAGATCTTCAAGCTATTTTCTTTGAGGCCTTCGGGATTTTCCAATGTAGGCGCCCTAGGCAATGTAGGGCGTCCTATTGAATATCGGCTGCATTCCTTATTCCAAAAGCACTCTTCTTACTTCCCACCCCAACCTTGCAAGAAGCGATCAGTGTACCGAGTACAAACCTTGAGCCATCATTGGACAACCTACTGTGCTGTCCCCAAGGCCTCTAACTGGTGTGGCGCCTGAAGTTAGATCTTTTGGGCTTACGCTGAGGGCGGTTGCTCTCCGTAAGGCCATATTTGTCTCTCTCCTTTTGCCGGTCGCCACTGTTTATGGTGTCAGGAGTCAACTGCTAAACCATCTTAAGGTAGCTCTTTTTAAAATAGCTGTTTTTAAGTTTAACTTCTAACATAAGCGTTCTATATTTTCTTTTAAAATAGTCGTACCTGATTCCTACCTCGAAAAAGCAGTTGATCGTGTTACCGTATGTCTGCTGGTCCTGATAATATCCCCAGCTGTGTTAGGCACTGCTCTGATATCCTATGCTATTCTATTACTATCTTATTCAATTTATCCTTGGAGCTTGGAGATATTTATCGCTTGTTTTCTATAAAATGGTATAGTGGTTGACCTCCTTTTAACGAATAGCGCGCAGCGTGTTTTGTTTAAAAACATTAAATTACAGATTATATGCGTTACATCTGGTTTCCCACAAGGTAGTTACTTAGGACCTTTTTTGTTTGTCCTTCTCGTAAACGATTTACCTATTATTGTTAACTATGCTACTACATTTACATGCGTATGCTGATGATTTCAAATTATGTTTTCTTTCACAAACCATTTCCTTCATAGAAACTTAATCTTACATAAACATAATCTTCTCTTACTTAAATGTCTTATACTATATAGAGATGCAGTATAAGACGAGTTAATTTAGATAAATACTTACGTTTGTTCTCTAACAATTTTAAAATACCCGAAAATGAGCGTCACGAGGTTTATGGACGGCCCCTTATTACAATATATATTAAAAGGTAAAGGCACTTCAAAAATACATATTAAAGCCCAAGGACAAGCTCTCTCAATTGCAAAAGCTGACTTTTAGGGTTTAAGGCATTATAGTTTGATGTTTTCTTAACGAATTCACAATAGTTTCGTTTTGAAAAATGTTTAAAAAGAGGACAAGTTCCCATAGTCCCATATGTTACAACCTTGTATAATATAAGCGTTGTGTGTTCATCATCGTCTTTAATACTCCTATCTAATAGTATATACAATACCGCATTTAACCTACATTTTATGCCTAATTGCTAACAATCTATTTTCATATAACATGTAAGTTTAATTATGTTAGAGAAAGAGAATATAAATTTAAAAAAAAATTTATCATATTCTAGGCCACTTTAATTACGAATCACAACTACCCAGTGGAAGAGCACACGGTGCACACCCCGGATGGTTATATACTTACCATTTACCGCATTCCAACTTCCTTTAAAAGTCAACAATTAAACGGCACAATCGAAAAAAAAGTGGTTTTTCTGCAGCATGGCATTTTGTGTGCTTCCGACGACTGGATCATTAATGGGCCAGAAACATCACTGGCCTATATGTTTGCTGATGCTGGTTTTGACGTTTGGCTTGGGAACGCTCGGGGTAATACATACTCTCGGCAGCACAAACACATCCACCCGGACACATCTGACTTTTGGCGCTTTAGCTGGCATGAGATTGGAGTCTACGACCTGGCAGCTATGCTTGATTATGCGCTCGCTGAAAGCAAATCGAGCTCGCTTCATTTTGTAGCACACTCGCAGGGAACCACTACGTTCTTTGTTTTGATGTCTTCGCTACCCTGGTACAACGAGAAGGTGCGATCTGTACACCTCCTTGCGCCTATTGCATATATGCGAAGCCATTCGTTCATTCTGTCAAAGTTGGGGGGTATTTTCTTAGGCTCGCCGTCATTCCTAAGTTGGGTGCTTGGTAGCATGGAGTTGTTGCCTATTACAAATGTACAAAAACTAATGTGCGAGTACGTTTGTTCTCAGGGCTCTTTTTTTAAATTTCTATGCTCTGGTTTACTAGACTTTATTGGAGGATGGGGAACTCGACACTTAAACCAGGTGATATGTCATTCTATTTTCTTTTTATACCCTTGCAGAGGGTATTCTAATTTTGGTTAAAAGTGTGGAACGCAGTGAAGGAGACAACTCCGACCCTATAAAGTAAATATATGTATATATTCCTAATCAGGATAACCGTTAGAGATCTGTCTGTCCGTATGTCTGCTTGTTTCTACGCAATCTAGTCTCTCAGTTTTAAAGCTACCGACTTGAAACTTTGCACATACTTCTGTCTTTCGCACGCAGTATATAAGTCGGAACGGCTGGATCGGCCGACTGATCGCAAGTGCCAAAATTTTGGAGATTTTTAGATAGTGAGTTGGGATTTTCCTTAGCTTTGGAACAATAATACGAAATGTCAAATTTCATAGGGATTGGCCGACTATATCCTCTATGTACCATATAACTGAACGATCGGAAATGACCCAAATTTTGTGTTTTTGTAGATAGAAGATGAAGAAGTTCTCGTAAGGATCGGTCAAGTGTATCCGATATTTCCTATATACATATACCTGATCTTAACTGCAAGGGTATATTAACTTCGGCTCCTTCCGAAGTTAGTTTTCTTTTCTTGTTTAAAATAAGAATTGTAAATATTCTAATGTGTACATATGTCCAGACCTTGCTTACGGACGTGTGCGTTACTCATCCAGCGGGAGCATCCACCAGCCAGATTATTCACTATTTACAGCTGTACACCTCGGGTGACTTTCGACAATATGATCATGGTCGAGAGCAGAATGAAATTCTATATCAACAGGCCATACCACCTTCATACAACGTTCGAAACATCAAGACCTGCGTTGAAATGTATTACAGTGAGAACGACTATATGTCAGCTGTGGAAGATGTAGAATACTTGGCTTCCTTGTTGCCCTGTGTTGAACTATACCGTATACCATATTCTGACTGGAACCACTATGACTTTCTTTGGTCCATTAATGTTAAAGAAGTGATTAATAATAGAATATTAGACAAGATTCTTGTATATGACCGGGATCATGGAAATTCTTTGAGTTTGTAGCGTATGAAGAAAAATATTAGAAAAATGTTAGATATGTAACCAAAGTGAAGTCTTTAAATTGTAAAGCTTGTAAGTGATATTTTAATTTAATCTTACTGTATATTAAATAAAATTGTTTTGTGATAATTAGGCAAAATTTTGTTTTAAAAATTCAGGTTTACGTAGATAAGAATCTGTTGACTTCATTCAATTAAAACTTGTATGTTAATCCTCATAAATGTATGTATGTAACAAATGATGTTAACAATAAATGTGCAATTTATAACAATAACAATTGCGAATTTCTGTAGCACCAGTACTGAAAAGTGTTTTTTTCGCAGTCTTGCAAAATTTTGGAAATAGCCCGTGCCCCAATTAGTGTATCAGCTAGATTTCTTGCATTAATCATAAAGCTTCGAAGCTCAGACGGCCAAGGAGCGCTTGGGAAACGATTTATTAATAATTTATTATTTATTAAACTAAGATGTTATAGTAAGGAAATTTAAAATACTTGTTCTTAAATTTAAAGGACAGGTAAGAGAGATGATAGGGTAGAGATCATTGTAATTGGAACTTTTTTTTTGTTTTATTTTTTTTTCACGTTTTGAATGTGGAAATTTTATTCTTAAGTTTAGCGCACTGCTGCCCAATTGGCAGCTGAATCTAATCGGTTTTTACAATTTTTACAATACTTAGTCTAAGCGTTACTTAGGACAAGAAGTGATTAGATGGTTTTTTTATTATATTTTATTTTTATTTAAGTTTATGTCGAGGATGACGAAATGGCTTGGTCAAGATCCGGTTTGGTAGGTCTTGACACCAACCTGTCTTTCAATCTTCTCTTGACTCGATTTCTTGGATCAGCGTTCCTGCTGGCAGCGGTACCAAGTTTTTTAGCTATGCTGTTGGGGTGCTCATTGAGTCGTTCCATGTATTTCCGAGAAAGTTCTTGCAGCTGGTCTTCGATTTTAGGCACGTTGAGATCTCGTTCGATGTCTCTGGTTCGCATAAACCACGGAGCTTCAGAGATCCTTCGAAGAGTTTTCGCTTGCGAAACCCGGATTTTGTTCAGGTTGGTTTTTGCAGCGATACCATAAACCTGGAGTCCGTAGAAAAGACTTGGCTCTAATATGGACTTGTATATCTGCAACTTACATCCAAGTGCGAGCTTGTTGCGTGGTGTGAGGAGCCAGGACATCCGAGCCACGAACGAGTCCTGAACGAGTTTTGGATACAGGTAATATGCCTGCCAAATGTGAGTTTTTTGTCCAAAGTGACACCGAGGTACTTGTATGCAGGCTCTGATTGGACTTTCGTTGAGGTTGACTCCTGGGCAGGTAGTAGTCGGAACATAAGACCTTGCTTCTAGACCTTCTATTGGGAATGTTAATTTTTAAGCCTGTTATTTAATTCTGGCTATTTACATCACCATTGATGAGGACCATTACCATTGATCTACACCTAGCAATGCTGAGCAATGCTGAGCTAGCATGGTCCGTTAAGGTTGGTAAGTTTATTAGTAAAAGTCTGCTACTGTAAAAGGGAAGATGATGATTTGCATACCAGTTATGACCTCTAAGTGCAAATATAAAGAAATTCTTGCTAATAGTAAATGTTGCTAAGAAACGTTGCTAATATTAAATGTGACTGATATTCATGTTGCTGAAAGGTTGAGCAACATGCATGTTCTATTTAACTTATGTATACCAAGATACCATGGCAACTCAGATCGACGCGTCGACATATCTTATGTATTCGTTCTTTTTCCTAGCTTTTCTGTATACGCATTATGGCGCTGCGTCGCATTTAGTAAATAAGTCAGTTATTCTCCGAGAACACGCAGCTTGTATACAGTCCACTCAAATAAACTATTTCGGGAAAGAAACAACTACGCATTTCATTTCTCGTAATAACAACATGGGCCATCTTATTGCCATATCCTTGATATTTGGATGGGTCATCACATCGGTTGGAGTTAATCAGTCTCTAACAATTACAACGCTATTCTCCACATGCAACATTGACAGTGCCCGAAGTCAAAGCATTGAGAAACGATTCAGGTAACCTCTTCTATCTGTCCCATCACCCTATAGTCGGACGAAAACTTAGGGTCGTTTTTTTTTTTTTTTCAAGGACGCCAATGGAGTGGCTCTGAATGACACACTACACGTTGGGCCGACTATTCAGCGCAAGCTTTTTGCCGTTTGCCTCCGCTTTAGAATGTATAGGTATGTATTCTCCGCAGACATTGTCAAAATGTTTCGCGGTAAGCACGATCACCAAAACTACCAAAGAATCCTATGGCGAGAGCATCGAACTGCACCTTTAATGCACTACCAGCTACGCACTGTAACTTATGGAACAGCTTGTGCGCCCTATCTGGCTGTAAGGGTATTAGAGCAGTCGACACAGAATCACAGAGACCAATATCCAACTGCATTGAGAATTCTTCTAGAGAACTTCTACGTCGACGATGTACTCACTGGAGCGAACCGCGAAGATGAGCTGCTAGCAAATAAGAATGACGTCAAATTGGACCACGACAAGTGGGTATCCAATACATCACGAATATGTAAGCTCGAATCCAGAGACGCTTTCAGTACCGGAAACGAGTAGAAGGTTCAGTAAAGGTTCTTGGAATTTACTGGAATCCAACCGACGACATGCTGACGTACCAAACCGGCTTGACATCAAATCCGAACTGCACTAAAAGGCTAATCCTCTCAGATGTTGCACGTATCTTTGACCCACTTGTCCTACTATCGCCAGTTGTGGTACAATTTTCAATCATTTTTCAAAAGCTATGGCTATTAGATCTTGATTGTGACTCGGAGCTTCCACCAAACATTGCAGAACCTTGGCTCAAGCGCAGAGCAGACCTCGACACGCTACGAAAATTGCAAATACCACGATTTGTCCTTAGCAAGGGAACTCGATTGAACTACATGTTTTCTCCGATGCATCGACCAAGGAATATGCTGCACTGTTTATTGCAGGTTTCAAAACAAGGAAACAAGGTTTATTGCATGGTGTGATTTAACTATTGTTTATTCCTGGCTATCATATCCAACATCGAAGATAAAAACCTTCGTCGCAAATCGGAAATTGTGGAAACGTTGCCACGACATACCTGGCATCACGTATGCTTAAATGAGAACCCCGCCGACTGCGCATCAAGGGGAATGATGACTTCCCAACTACTTCACCTGTGGTAGAACGTAGCTCCATGGCTACTCAATGATGACGAGTACACGGCAAAGGTACAAAACTGTGAAGCTTGTTTCAATTTTTCAGACCATTATGCACAAAACGAATTGAGGACCACAGCAATGCTCACTCTTAAGGGGTTGGACAATTCATTATCAGCGTTTGGATACCTTGTTCAACGCGTCTCATCCTGGCAGAAGTTGGTACATACCCTGTACTATGTTCTTCGCTTTATCCGAAGACTAAAAAAGCCACGAAACCGAGCGGAATCAACTACACTCTCTTTTGACGAGATCAAGGCAGCACGACTAGTATGCCTGAGAAGAACACAGGCGTGCTTTGGAGAAGACCGAAAGCTTATCCAGACGAATCAACCATTGCGAAACAGGTCATAGCTATCAAAGTTTGCACCGTTTATTGGTTCAGATGAACTACTACGAGTTGGCGGGTATTTAAGGCAATCTAAGCTTCTGGAAGAAGTCACACACCCGATACTGCTGCCTAATGCTCACCGCATTACGAAGCTGATTCTGGAACACGAGCACTGGGTAAACTTGCACCCAGGCACATCGGTACTATTCGTAATAACTCGTCAACGTTATTGGATAATTTGTGCACGAAATCTCATAAGAAAGGTCACTCCTAACTGTTAAGAGGAGCCCCAAAATAAAGGTCGTACTCCAATGAGTTCCGTTTAAAAACTGATTTTATTTGGTAAAGTTCTCTTATAAGTAAGATACATGAAAATTTTAAAACTATTTAAAACTACTTATCAATGCACCGCACGTTGACATGCTATGCGACCCTTTCTCAAGTGCGATAAGCGGATGCGCTTATGTTTGTGTTATTTATGATAGGCTGCAGGGGATCGGTTTTAGACCATGCTGTTTGTCTCTTATTTCATGGGTCCGATCCTTTAAAACTCTATCTTTGGAATTTGTATATAAAATAGTGTTCTTGAATGCTTGAACATTCTGGAAAGGGCCGCATAAAGGTGTGTGTTGTTTTTGGATTAACATTTTATTTATGTATATGTGTATTTTTGTTTTCGTATTACATTTATTTATTCTATTTCCTCGGTATTAGAAAATTATTATAATTGTTCGATAACAAAATGTAGTGGACTGTATATTTATTTTATTTTGAATTGCAATTTTCCAAAAATTTTAAAATTGTTTATGTTTTAATTTCATGTTCAACCTTATGCTTGAACATCCTGCGAGGGGCTACAAAAGTGCCTTTGTTATATTTTAGTGTGTATTTTAAATTTAATTTGAAATATTAATGTTTTCTTCGATTTTTCAGTGGACTGTAATTTTTATATTCATTTTAATTTTTGTAATTACCTTCTACAGAAGGATACAGAAATTAGGTTCTTGTTTTTTACAAACTTGTTTCTTCTTTTTTTTAGTGTAAATAATTTTACTTTTTATTCTTTTTTAATATTTGGCATTGGGGATGGTAATGCTATATTCAACAATTGTCTTTTTGACTTTAGTTTTCTTAAATAGGATATAATCAATACAGTAATGATTATTATTATAAAAACAAGAAAGGAAAGCTAACTTCGGGCGGAGCCGAAGTTGATATACCCTTGCAGTTAAAACCGGATATATATCGCAAACATCGGATATAGTTGGCCGCTCCTTATGGGAATATGAATATATAATCCAATTTATTACAATACAAAATCTAAAAAAAGTCCCAAACTTCTATCTTCAAACATACCAAAGTTGGTATTTCTACCAAAAACCATTTCCGATCGTTCGGTTATATGGCAGCTATAAGATATAGTCGGCCAATCGTTATGAAATTCGGTAGGTCGGATAAACTGACCAAAAATATAATCTGTACCAAGTTCCAGCTTTCTATCTTAAAAAACACGAAAGTTGGGTCATTTCCGATCGTTCAGTTATATGGCAGCTATAAGATATAGTCGGCCGATCCTTACGAAATTTGGCATGTCGTATTATTTTGCTCGTGTCAAATTTGAACTCTCTAACTCTAAAAACACCGAAGTTATACCATTTCCGATCAATCAGTTATATGGCAGCTATAGGATATAGTC